CTTCAGTAGATGGTAGAAGCCCCCAGAGCACCCCTCCTTCACAATGTTTTGCATTATTGACAGGATCCCAACATCAGGCATTTGAGCTTCTACTTAAAAACCCCTAGTTTGGGCCTGTTACTGACTGTTTATGCGGTTTGCAGCTGTACATCAGATCTGAGATTCCACAGACAAACTCAGGAGCTTTTTTTTTCTTCTTTTTTTTTTTTTCTTTTCTCGCAATCCTTTTGATATTTCAGTGACCTTAACCCTAGCGTGACTCCCTGTAACCTGTGAGGGGATTTGACTGCTCTTGTGATGAGTCAAAAGGACTCCTTGCTTGTCTCTGATGGATAAATACTGAGCCAAGTGATGGTGGAAAAACAATGTAACTATTCTCTACTTAAGCAAAGTCCCCAGAGTGTGTTTGGTATCTTAGCAACAGCTCTGCAGCGAAGTGTAGTGCACACCTCATTACACCTCTTGATGATAACTCTATTTCCCGACACCAGGAGGAAAGAATATTTCCTTTTCTCCTCACGATTTGATTGAAACGTCACATAGTCGGACAATCGTCTGTCTCCAGCTGCATACCGAGGTTACCAGTAGAAACAAAAGTGTCACTCGGCCCTCAGACCGCAACAATTATCTGCTTTTTCGAAGTCTCTCAGTTGACATCAGTGCCGAGTCATTAAACCCTCAGAGAAACGACTTATTGCGCCGCCTTGTTAATTAGCAAGAATCATTGGCCCTGGATGGCACACTGGTTACTCGTTTCAACCGTGCTTGCTTCTCTGCAGAGCGCCCGAAAAACATGTTTTGGGCCTGTGAGCCGCCCACAGGAAATGTTAGTCATGTGTTTTTTTATGATGACCATACGTAACAGAATGCAGAGCATTGGCAGTCTTACCCTTTTAATCTTGGCTTGCGTGACAAATGTTTGTATGCATATCGAATAGGCGTCCAGTTGGAGCAGCCTAGCATTTGCTGCTAGATCGGCAAAGTGTAGTTAAATAAAACACAGAAATGTAATTTCAGCAGAGTACCCCCCCCCCCCCCCCCCCCCCCCGAGGAGTCGCCTGGACACGTTTATGAATCGTTCAATCAAATTGCTCCGCCGGGCCAATTGTCCAGCCACCAGCAGGGCGTGTGCGTGACATTGTGTCTCTCTTTGCGCAGCTCTATGCCGGGGCCATCCTTGAGGTGTGTGGATGAAAGCTGGGGAGGTTCCCTCAAGTCCAAGGTAACGGATTTTTTTTTTTTTTTAACGGTAGCGGCTCTCTCTGTTTCAGTGTGTTGATCACTGGGGATGTGTGCGTGGAGTGTGTCCTTCTTTGCAGCAGGTGGTCTAAAAGGCCAATAGGTTTTTATATACACCCTATTTGTCTTTGGCGGAGACCCCCCACCTCTGCGTAGAGTCACATTTGGCTAATTCAGGGTCGGATTACATTGTCAGGAGTAGCTGCAGCTCTCTTTAGTGTGGAAGCAAACGTGGCTGCCGTTTGTTTACTTCAGCTGTGGCCATCCTGTGTTCTCAACTGTCCCTGCCGCTGTTCACGCCGCATTCCTGGGAGGTTTTTCCAGTTGTCACTATTTACAGGCCACAGTACTAAAATGGAAAAGCTAATTGACTGATTCATCGCCTGACATTTGCCTCATGGGCGTTTTTATCTCCTCAGCTTTTGTCAGGAGCGACAAGCCAAAGATGTTCAAAGGTCTTCAGATCAAGGTAAGGAGGATGAATCGTGCAGCAGCGAGTTGATATGTTCTCACAATTACACTCACATGAAGTGAAATTAGATAATGTTGATCAGATGACTCGCACACACTAAATGTCTTTTATTGGTATTGAGGGGAAACCTGCCTTCCTAACGGTGTTTCTCTCTTACCCACTCGCCCTCTCCCTCGCTGTAGTACGTCAGAGGCTCCGATCCTGTACTAAAGCTTTTGGACGATAACGGGAACATCGCTGAAGAGCTCAGCATCCTCAAGTGGAACACCGACAGTGTGGAGGAGTTCCTGAGCGAGAAATTAGACCGGATATAGAAACAGTTTGTATTTTTTTTTTCCTTTTTTTTTTTTTTTTTAAAGTTAAAATTCTTTTCACTCAAATTACAAAGCCTCTGTTTGTATGCAGCCATGCAGATATGTTCTGTTTTATGTGCCTGAAATATCTGCATCCACCTTTAGGCAAAGGGAGTTTTGTTTGTGTGGTTCGCTGTTCTGAAAAATGACATTTAAAACAATGTGTGTTCCTAGAACTTGTGTTGCTGTCGCTGAACCACCTAACTTTTATCTGAAATGCTGAATAATGAAGTATTCCCAATGAGTGCAGCCCCACAAACAAAACTCCTATAAGCTCCATTTTATTTAGGCTGTGGCAGAAATCTCAGGAGTCCCATCTTTAAACGATAACAAATCCAAACTATCTGCATGGATGGAGACAACGAGGGGCTACTGTTTTTTTTAATTTTTTTTTTTATTACTATTTTATGTTATTATATAATTTGGGTGAACCAAACCATTATGTTATTTACCAATTTGTACCAACCTGGCCTTGAAAAATGGTTGCTAAAACACTGTCTGACTGTTTTTGTATGGGAAAATCCTAAATTTCTTGTCTGGATTTTACCAAATAACGTGTGGATGACATCATCGCAGACACGCTCTAATAATTGATCAAAACGGGTCCATTAGATTCAAAAAACAATAATGCACATCATGAGCAGTTTCCTTCTCTGCCGGTGGATTTTAAAATCACCTGAAGTCTGATATTCTTGTATCATGTTTTTTTCTTTCTTTTTTTAATATGTTGCGCGACATTGTGACCAACAGGATTTGTGGTAAGAATGTATTCTAGTTGCTCCTCTAACGCAGACGTCTTGCTGAAGCACATGTTAGTGAAGACCTCACAATAAACCAGTGTTGGGATGTGAGGTCTGATGTAAATTTGTGTTTTTTTTTGGTATCTTCTGCTTTGAAGAGAAACTGGAGTCATTGTGGATGCTTGATGTTTTTTCTGTCATTTTGTCTAATGGAAAATGTAAGTGCATTAAATACGAATAGTCTGGTACTCAAGTGTCATCATTGACCTCATTTAAAACGTCACACGTGCATCTGCTGACATCTTGTGGTCTAATCAGCATTGCAGCTGAGTGCAACGTCTCGATGCAGTAAAACCCATTGAGTGACAGGACATGCTTAACGTGCTGGTAATTGAAACATTTAAGTTATTAAATTAGAAATTCACCTGTGACTTATTTGGAAAAAAATAAACCAGGGCGTGGACAGATTTTCACAGCACTGCGTCTCCAAAATACACTAATTTTAGCCTACAATGTAGGCTTATTTCTTTTCTAGGATTTCCTCACATAATTCCAGTTATCTTTTGGACAGAAGGGTTCGCCTTATAATTCCTTATTTGTATTCTCTGAAAGCGAGAGGAGGCTATAAACATGTTTCCAGTACCAGCACAAGTTCTGTTGAACAGAAGTTTCACATGTTAATTATGAGCTTTGTTTATTGATTGGTTATATTCTAATAATTCAAACCAACTGTTTCACAAATTAGTATTTTAATAACATAATTTAATGATTCAACTCAAGTAAAAAATAAAAAAAGCTTCAATTACAGGATTTATGTAAATCTGGTAACCATGGAAATGAGCATGTGAGTACACATGTTGGACTCCTGATACAATGTGAGAATGTTAACTCTCATCACGAGGCAACTGAAGCAAGAAACAACGCTGCACGTGAACATCTAACCGCACGCACCTTAGCAAACAAATTGTACACACAGCTGTGCGTTGAAGTTACACGTAATTCTTGTCTTTCTTGCCGTCCTCTGAATGCTGATCGGTCCTGGTGCGGGACTGAGGTTTGTAAACGACCCCCGGGTAACTGAAAAGCAACAGGCGAGAATTGAGATTAATAGAAGTAAGGAGACATACAGTTCTGTCCACAGAGCAACCTTAACTCACTGGGATTTATCCTCTTTCAGCATCCCCCTGAAAGCCAGTGACTTGAGGACACCCCCAATGAGCAGGACGCCCCCTCCTATCCAGGCCACGAACAGTGCAGGGCCAAATGTGTACCTGCAAAACCAAACCAGTTATTCAAAGTCCAGCACACAAATAATGCGGAGAATATAACAAATCCAGGCCATATAAACAGTATCCTTAAGTCCTACCTGGGCATCCCTCCACCCATTTCTCCTCCCAGCCCTCCCTGCATGTTGCCCCCGAATCCTCCTCCTCCTCCTCCGTAGTTCAGGTTGTTGGACATCCTGAAACTGGCTACGATCTGATTGGCGTAGATAGAAGCTCCTGCGATGCCACACACACCTGAGAGGAGTGTCCAGTCACATAGACAACGGCTGTGTGATTTATTTACTTTGCAGAGCGACTGTCAAACATAGCGAATCCTCAACAACCGCAGGGGTCAACGAACATAAAAAACAAGAGCCTTCTCCATATTTCTGTTATTAGTAAGCGTACCGCCGATGATGAACATGATGCCGGCGGTCAGGCTCATCTTGGCCTTGGTGGTGTCTGCCATGCTGTTCATAGTGAGGCAGGTCAGGGAGAAAACTGATATCACCGCTGCCAGGACGGCCAGCACCACGCCCACGATCATCAGGGCTCGCACGGCCTGGAACACACCTAGTGGACACAAAAACACCTGAGACATGCTGCTGGAATGACTGAGAAGTTCATCATGTCTTACTCTACCGAGGCGCTTTACTTTGCACAATGATTTCGGGTCACATGAATCACGTGTGTGATAACAAGAGGACGCTTACGCCCTCATAGGACGATGATGTGACCACACGTGTTTAATCTGCAAATGTCCCCTGTGTTCTCCCTCAGTGGGCGAGCTGCAGGAACTTCGCCCCTTTTTTGTTCTGTTTCTGATAACTGTGTTGACTAAGTCTCACAGTGAGAAGAAGGAACTGGCGCTAATGCAAATACTGATAGCAGCGGGCTCGACGCAGTAACTAGAGTTAATGTCAGGAGCAAGAGGAAAAAATACTCAGAAATGTCCTCCGTTTAATAATAATAATAGTAATAAAAAAAATAAAAAAAACATGTACAATAAGTAGTGAGAAAGAGGAAATAGGAAAAAGAGGAAAAAGATTTTTCCTTTCACAGTTTTATTTTTTTAACCAATGATTTTATAGTTTTAATCTCATGAAAACATTAAATTACTCGTTTTTCCCGTTCCCTTTGAATTGGCTTTCAATTTAACAAAAATATGTATGTTGTATCTTTCCTTTGTGAATATTTATTTGTTCCCAACTTCATCAGAACAAGTTGGTACATTTGAGTGACAAAATCATACAAGCATTTTGTACCTAATTTTAAGAGTCATAGAACATAAAACAAATCTGAAACTGCTACTTCTTCATCTGCCTTTTTGTTTCGCATAACATTCCACAAAGTAATGACAGAATTTCCTCGTAACTCTGATACTTGACTACTTGGTCCCGACAAACCGTAAACTTGTTTACTCATCATTGATCCTGCGCGAAAGCTGATTATGTCCTTTAAGAGTAGAGCAGCTTGTAATGGTTTGAGCAGCCACTGACTAAAACCTGCCTGCATGTAAGTCAATGGTACCACACGCCGGGGCGGGGAACCTCTGCACATTTGAGCACAAGGAGTCTCGTCCTACCTGAGAAGCCCAGGAGGCCGTAGAGCGGGCGGCACTCGGTGAGTCCGGAGGAAGTGGTCTCACAGTCCCGCCACAGACCCTTGTAGGTGTAAACGGATGTCACAACATCCCCCTGCCGGTCCTTGACGCTCCAATTGTTCATGGCAGTCGCTGCGATGAGGGCCGCAGCGCCGACCAAACCCGAAACGAATCCACCATTCTGCAGGACTGAAGGCGCCATCGTTGCTTCCACTTTTAGAAGTTGAGCAGTATAATAGAGGCACTGTGTGTGTGTGTGTGTGTAGGATGGTTTTTGCCGAGTTTAAATACTTTAAAGTGTAGCTTCGTGAGCCCGGTGAGGCCAGAGAATGAGATCGGGCACAGTGGTGCTTGGTAGTGATGGTGGCGTTGGGTGGAGGCGGTTTGGTTTCACCCTGTGGGTGACACGGCGCCGCGGGTGGGTTGGGCCTCCTCGTGCTAAGTGGGTTGGACACACCGGCGATACGCGCACCTGGCACCTAAACGAGAACTGTTTGAATGTAAATACGGGACGCTGACTCACCGACGCCACGGGGCTTTGGGTAAACGTCCAACGGTTGGTCAGTGAGGGTATCGTGCAGCACATTGCCACGGCAACGCCGTCGCACACTGTGAGAAAATGATGCGGCACAAAGGCAAAGCAGCCAGCGCACAGAGGCAGCACTGAGTGTGTCACTCACTCAGATGAAATACATCAGACTGCCGGGGAGTAGATTTTGGGGTTATTTCTTAATCACGGACAGAAAGTATAAGTTGATATCAGGTCTCAGCAGTGAGAAACCAGTAAGGTGAAAGCTTTTACCACCTGAGGGGCAGAGGTCAAGCTCATCGACACAGTCCGGCTGGACCTGTGAATTTATGAATGCGTCACCTTTGAACTCGCCCGACTTTCAATTAAAGCCACTTTGCTTGTTGTCGGTTTTTGTTGTGCTTTTAGGTTCCAGTATTGTAAAAACGGACAGTCCAGCCAGGACATCTGGTGCATTTCTATTGTGTAAAATCAAACATTTACAAAATGACCCACATTTCTTAAATACGCGTTAGGGGTCCAGTCCTTCATCTTTAATCATTCTGCATCACATCGATACAGGACTGTGAATCGACGTACACAGAGAACAAAGCTTGGTGGTTTCCGGTTGAGGACTCGTTGCCTCTTACAAACATTGAAACAAACAGCTCATACGATTCCTATGATTCAACGTATCACCTTATCACTCTGTCAACAACTGGGGAGGAGAGAAGTTTCTATTCTTCTCTTATCATGAGCCTCACTCTCGCACTCTCACAAACACAGACACACAACGAAACTCACACATGAGACGGAAAACGTTGTGGGACTAGATTTTAATTTTATTGGTCAGTTGGATGAACTGTTTCTTGCAATGAATAAATATCCGTCTTTTGTGTAAGCTTTTGTTTGTAGCTTATCGGTCGGCTTGTTTAAATATGAGCCCTTGGGGTTTAAGGAACATGAAATAAAACAAACTTCCCAAAGTTATCATTACAACTGCTGTTTGACATAAAAGTATATCCAATTGATTGCAAATAACAGTGATACTGCAGTAAACATTAAAATAATGCGAGATACAAATGATGATATGGATAACCCACCCAAAAAACGGTAATCTCATTCAAATAAAATGACTTATTATCCAGAATTGAGATGTTTATTCTTGTCCAGATCCAAAGAAAAAACTGTGTTTTATGGAAAAATGTCTTATCTACACTTCAAAATAACATAAAATAACCGACCTTCATCATGAGACAGATTTACTCGCTTGAGGAAAAAACAAGTGTTTCTGTTCAAACATAAGAATGTAGCTCTATGAATTATTCAAAGATTCAAAGATTTGTATTGTCATTTACACACCGTTTACACCCTGTGTATTGAAATTCTTGTGCTTGCCTTTCCGGAAAGCCGACCAATTTTAAAATTAAAATTAAAATAAGAATACAATATTTACATAAACGTACATGGAAAAAAATAAAAAATGAGGTGAATTTTACTTTGACTTTTACGGTTTATTGAATAAATAAAAAACACATTGTCTCAGGCTTCCCGCGCTCTTTCCTCAACAGCGTTATTATCATGTGATTGACAGCATGGACAGGAAGTCCGTTTTGAGTAATTGTTTCAAAAAGTTACTCGTGAGCATTAGATCAGCGACTTGAGTGTTGTTTTTTGTGCAGTGAATTTTGAACGCAATCGATATCTGCTGGAACACTTTTGCACAATATCCACTTTTGCCGTAGTATTTCTGAGACGCAAAATGCACCGTCGCCCCAGTTATCTTGCCTTGGTCCCAAACGTCCAGTCTCTCACACACTGGAGCTGGGTGAAGTGTACGGGTCCATGCCGCCCTTGGTCCTCCCTCCGGGGAAGAGGATATAGGCCACCTGGGGCTGCAAACTGGCCGCAGACCAGGCGCTACAGTTACACGGCACCACGTACCCCGGGCTGGAGGCCGCCGGGTGACCGTGGCTGTGCTGTCCGCTGCAAGCCAGAGCCCCGATCCCTCCAGTCTGGTATCCAAACGCGTGCGCGCCGTAGGGCAGCGCGCCGGCGGCCGCGGCGTGCGGCATCTCCGCCATCCGCTGGACAGCTCCCGTGCTGAACTGCGCCACCGGCTCCAGCAGCGAGAAGGACGACGGGGACGGGACGGGGGCGAGGAACGCTCTGGCTTTGTCCCCGGGGACGAGAAAGGAGTCCACGGAGAATCCCTTCCAGTGCTCCGCTGCGTCCCCGAGTAACGACGGAAGCGGGAACACGAAGTGTTCCCCTCTTGAGGAGACTCTTGGGTTTGCGTCGGGGTCTGTACTTGTAGTCCGGGTGCTCCTTCATGTGCTGAGCCCGCAGCCTCTTGGCCTCGTCGATGTACGGACGTTTGTCGGAGTCCGGCAGCAGCTTCCACTCCGCGCCGAGTCGCTTGCTGATTTCAGAGTTGTGCATCTTCGGGTTCTCCTGGGCCATTTTCCTCCTCTGGCCTCTGGACCACACCATGAATGCGTTCATGGGTCTTTTGATGTGATCTAAAGGTTTTGCCATGTCAGACGTTTAAGCATTAATTTACAAAACAAACACCAGTGCTACTTTCGAATTAAGTCACCTCTCCAAGAAGCTCATGCTCGTCTCGTGCGTAAAAGGAAAAGTTGTAAGAAATGTCTGTCCCGTCTCTATGGCAAGAAACGAATTCCAAATAGACGGAAGCTTCTCCACGAGGTAAGCAGGGTAAAATGCAGAAAGTGCGAAGGCAGACTGGGAGTCGCGCAGGACCAAGTTGGAAGCTTGTCATGGATGATGCTCGGCATGCCAGCAACTCATCGCCACACCGGTGTCACGGCGGGCCAAGCCAATGGGAATGAGAGAGAGCGCTGTAATCCCCTCACAAAAAGTGACTGTACAACATTTCTAAGGGGCTCACCCCCTCCTCCCCCTCCCACAGTTAGTCTCTCCAAATGTCTCCCGAGGCTAATTCAAGCAGGGGAACAGAGAAAAGAGTAATCTGCTGCACAACTATGAGTTATACGATTGTGTCAGGGTTAAGGGAGTGAAACACAGAAGTTGTTTTGCACTGCTGCAAATTCTGAAGTCACAGGTTCCAAACACCTTGTGAAATGAAATCTTTAAATGTTGTTATGTTCATGTTCAACTCATATTCTGCATGTTTTATCATCGGTACTACAACAAACACTAAACCAAAGCGACCTCACAATTAGTTTGGGAGTTTCAGGGAACATATGAATCTTTCTACAAAATTAAAAGCACACAACAAAATGTTACAGCTTCATAGGAAGATGTAACCGATCCACCAGGAATACAGATTTAATCAACCGTGCATAAAACGCTCTTTTTACCAAATGAAAAAGGTCATCCCTGGGCCTCTAAAACATGCCCCCATCTTTATTTTCCAAAATCACTCCCAAGATTTGTTTGTTAAAACTTGTCATCAAAAGTAATCATACCATTCATTCAAATGATGTCCCATGATGCAGATTTCTGATGCATCAATGTGTATACAAACAGCTCACCTCTCCCTTCCCTGTACTCTACAAAATCAATATTAATCATGGCCATAATTCACCGGCCTATGGGTGAATCATTGCTTGTTGCAGTTTTCATAAATATTCCTTATCTGATCAAAATACACCTCTCGTCTTTTATTGAAATGACATCGGTGGAGAAGAGATGGAGCATAAATCACGTTCAGCATGTGCGCTGCAACTCGGGGAAATTAGGAGCTTTTAGTTAAAAACAGGGATCGGAGTGTATATAGACTCCGGAAGCTAATTTACTAGGAGGGAGCTTCAGGCTCCTGCAAACGGGATTATTACCATGACACGAGCATGATGTGTTCCCCTCCGGACAGACCCGTGGCGGTTGCTTGAAGCTCTGGCAAAAGGTCTTGGTAGTGGCGATAAACTCTGCTATCAGGGCACCAGCGAGCGGGAGGCCTTTATTTAATTTACCTCCCACAATCAAAAGGCACCGCAGGCCTCTTCAAAGGCGAAATAAATTGACATAAAAGATCCGCTTGGTGCCCACTGCATCAGTGGTGGAGATGATAAGACGTTTTTGGGTGAGCGGTGTTCTCCGGGCTGGAGGGATAAAGTGATTGGCAGCAGGGGGGGGGTCGGCCAGTTGATCCGTCTACTCGTGGCTGCGCTGTTATCACCCGCGCTGTACGGTTCAGGCCTTCGGAAACTCGGGAGGCACCGGCCGCCACGCGGAGACAATGATTACCTTCACAGTGAAAGCATGTCTGGAGCGTTTCTCAGACGCGGGGGGCGGCGGGGGAAACCACGTGCGAGCGCAACAACATGAACGTATCAGTAAGGCCAAGAAATCCATCGCTGGCAAACTCGCCATCGTCTGTCAAGATTTAATTCTGCTCAAAGCTTCAACACAGAGAGCGCCGTGTTTTGTGTGCACTCGTCAGTGTGGTGTGACTTCTAAAGGGCAGCGTTTAAACTCTGGAGAGACGAGGGGGGGAGAGAAGAAAAAAAAAAAAAAACGGGTAATAGGAAAAACTGCCAGCAGCACAAAATGGCCGTCATAATCCGTTTATCCCCCCGGGCTCTAAAGATACTGGTCCTCTCCTTAGGAGTCTATCTTTTCTTCTTATGTCAAAACTGTCCTCCATGCACTCAGGTGGATTAAGGAGTCACGCTGTAGAAAGAAATTGACAGGTACAGAAAGGCCCGGGGGTGAAAAGGGAATGAAAGGCGACACAGAGGGGCAGGCGGGGCGCTCGGGCCGGGGGGACGCCGCCAAAGTCTGACAGGAAAACAATCAAACAAGTCGACTCCGCGCTGGTGTTCCTCACTAATTTGCCTGTTTTCATTAACTGAACCGTTACAGAGCTGACTACACGTATCTTGTGAAATCGGTCTTTTTTTCTTTATTTCTCCAAACGGCTGCATTGTTTAGAGATGCTGCTGCCGCTTTATTTAATAGGTGTTTTTAACAGAGTAGGTGACATTGTGAATAAACAATAGTCTCTGCTTGTGTTTTGACACTATGATTAATCCATCAAGAACAAATGGAATTTCATTATTATTCAGTTGATATAATATTACTTGTTCCAGCCTCTCGACTATAAAAGATTGATGGGCATTTGATGACTACAAATTGGTGAGTGAAATATTCTCTCATAGCCAGTGAAATATTTATTTAAAATAATGGAAACAGACCCCACACAACATTAGTGACATAAGGAAAGGGCAGGGTTAGTTGACCCAGAGACTGCAGTGACTATTTTTTCTATTTTTTTTACTTTAAGGAATAAACTATTTTATTCCTTAAAGTGTTTTTAAAACACAACATTTTATTCACCGAATAATTAATTGGTTACTTGAAAAGGGTTAGGGTTAGGGGTTAGGGTTAGGGTTATTAGTAAAGAGTAAAGAGTAAAGAGATTAGTTGACTGTAAAATGATTGTTAGTTGCAGGCCTATATCATTATAAACATTATGATTCTTTTACTGTATATTAGAAGTGAGGCGCACACCTTCGGGTCTAAACTTCCCCAATTCACCAGATCACGTTCTTGTGCTTCGCTTAACATCATGATAAACATCATGCGGGAAACATAACCTGCACAGAGTTGGATGGTCAATGGGTTTCCATCTAATTATGTGGGTGAGTTCAGTGGCTTTTATGCTTCAAATTCTGTCATTTCAGCTCCAAGTAAATACGCTGAAATCCCAAAACTACCCTGAAGTCTAACAAGAGTTTTTGACACTTCTGAGCGGTCCATTAGGAAACATTTCAGGGGGAAAATCCTCACGATTTTCTGTGCTCTTGGGGGGATTTCACTAAATCTTTTGCTTATTCTCTTGATACTTAGGAAAAGTAAAGCGGTTTTAATAGCTTTCCCACTGACACATTGATGGTGGAATATACTTTGGCTCTGTGGCAGATAGCTTCAAACACGAGAGAGAGAGAGAGAGAGAGAGAGAGAGAGAGAGAGAGAGAGAGGAGAGGAGATCTGCTGCCTGCCAGAACACTTTTCATAAGGCCCCATCTAAACTAAATTAATACACGCCCTCCAGCATCTGAGGATAAACCTGAGGACCACATTACTGTGGCAGCCCATATCAGCCAGCTTGTAATACAACCGAGTCAGCAGTCAATGAGATACATTTGCAACCAGGCGTTTGTCAGCGACTCAGAGCCACAGAGGCAGGAGATTTAAAATGTCCAGCAGTAAATTAAGTCCTGCTTAAAAAGTGAAAGGTGCCGGCTAAGCAGGCGGCTGCTTTTTTTAACAGACTGGTTGTGGGGTTGATCATGTTGTGGTGATGTAGGGGGGAGGAAAGTGAACCTCTCTTTTCTAATAAGTATAACTACATTTAAAAAAAGGCATGGTATAGTTTAGGTTTGCTACCTGAGGTTAATAACAAACAAATAATAACAAAAGAAGGTGAACTCGGGCCTTTGAGCCTGATCACTGGGGAGATGTGATGTGCTGTGAGTTAGTGAGACACTGACAGAGAAATCTGTTTATAGCCTCACAAAGGATGAATTTGAGATTACATTAATTAAAGTGAAGAATTTGTTCGCCGTATATTCTCTATTTTTTATTTAACTAAATCATTGATTGACAACTACGCCTGGCTTGTAGTGGATTTTGGTATTAAATAAATTCTTTTGAGACAAAATCCTCTGAAGTGAGTTTTATTGGAACTCGAGCTAATAACTTGTATGTAATCCTTATTTTCATTATCACTGAACCACATGCATTGTTAGATGTTTTATTGACCAATAACAATGCATTTAGTGATAACGCAAACCTTTTACAGCACTTTTAAGATGATGAGGTTGTTAATGTTTAAACACACACACTAAAAACAACAATATAAGACCATCAGCCTTTTCTCTTCTCTCCTACTAATTATTTTCTTCTAATGCTAATAGAACAATATATATATATATGTATATATATATATTGCATATATTCAAAATGTAAAAGAATAATAATGGTGAAATAAAAGCAGCATGTGTCAATTCGCAGTCCCTTCATCAACTTTTGTCAGCATGTTTCATACATATTGTAAAAAGGATATAAACAAGACATGTTTGAGGACGCATGTGCGGTCCTATACACCTTGCAGTACAGAATTCTTATAAATAATCTGTTAAATTATCATGCAGCAACTTTAATTCTCATTCATGACATTCTTTGCCACATCAAGGTGGTATATGCATTTAAAATATAAAGAAACACACACATTGAATGCTGTGGAGCCACACTGCAAATGAGATGCCGCTAAGAGGCTTAGTGCAATAATGGAAATAGTGTAGCTCCTATGGCGATGATATGCTCGCTGTAACAGAGAGGGAATTTACAGAGATATCTCCTGACTCGTGTTAAGCGGGGCACTGGCTGTCCTGAGCCCGACTGAAGAAGAGGAGGGTGGGGGGCACAGATGCTGTCACAACAGCAAGCTCAGATAAGCCCCTACTGGGTGAAGACAGAAAGGCATTAAATTAGAATATCTTTAAGTAGTATGATGCTCCTCCTGCGCCGCTGGAGTGGGACTATGTGCAGAATAAGTAATATAATTTAGGCTGATGATTTAGACCTGGAGCATATAATATGTTTGATATAGATGAAATGCCATCTTGTGCAGGGTTTTAATTCATATGTAAAAATTGCATATTGATAAAACAATGAAAAGAAAGCCCTAGTGTAGCGTTACAAAAGTGCACTAGAGAGCAGTATAGTGCTCTCTATTTTGCATATCGTTCTGCATCTTGTCGTTATGAGTAGTCATATCCCTGAGTCTATTTCTGCAACACTACATTAACGACATAATGCACATATGACAGGAGTAAAATAAATCCTGTCAACTACAGTAAAATAAAACAAAACAACTTGGGCTCGTCCGGGATTTGAACCCGGGACCTCTCGCACCCAAAGCGAGAATCATACCCCTAGACCAACGAGCCGCATGCCGTTGACTGCAGAAATGTAATATACATATTTAAAACAACAACAGGTGTTAGTTAGTTAGTAGCGGTAGCAGGAGGAAAAAGCGATTATATTACCTAATTATTTTCTATCCATCTAAGTTACAGCAGCTGTCAAAACGGTTATACACTAGATAACATAACATGTTCAAAATGAGTAACAATTAGTTCAAAAAATTTCTGAGTTCCCCTTAAATATTGTTAGTGTTTAAAACAAACAGTTGCAGTCACGGAAGTTTAGTGCTGGTTCAAGCCAGTATAATACTGGTTTGCCATACTGATTCAGGGACTAGAACAGCTGGATCAGTGAACGTATTCATTTAAAAATTCACGTTTTACTCTAATTGAAATAGTTTCCCAACATAACAGATATACCTTCTTTTCCAATATGGGTGATTTATCGATTATGGTTTGGTACGGTTGACAGTTATCTGCAGAAATAGGGACACATATTGACATGTTCAACATAGTTACAAGTGGGTTATTTTCTCTCAAACTGTTGAATTTACTAGGTTGAGGAGTGGCCATCAAAAAATACGAAATTTCAAAAGAGCTCATATCAATGTGTTTAAAAGCGTTGTGATGGCTGGTAGCGCAGCTCTGTCGGATTAGCAGCCTGACCTTCGGTGTTAACATCCGGGAACTCTTCGTGTGCAGCGTTGGCCCTGCTGCTGTCGCGGTGCATTGTGGTCCGTGTGCCAAAGGAAGCCGCTACACCGGAATCTGAAGAATTTGGAGGTGTCCGCCAAGTCTACTGTTCATCGGCGGCTAGTCTCTCAGCATCTAAAACATCTGTGCTGCACTTTCTACGGTCGGTCTAGAAGGTAACACGCGTTGTTCATTCAATTCATCCACAATTTGTCTTTGCGCGGCGTTCATGGCGGTATCGCAGTTAAACTGATGACGCTAACGTTAGCTGTGTAAATTCACCTCCTGCACAAGCTACTCGGCTAACGGTAGTTAACGTTAGTTGTTAACTCAATGCTAAGCTTCTCTTTACGGAGCAGCTAGCGGGTGCTGTTAGCCGGATAAAAAACGCTCATTGTACTAGTTCGCAAGATCTATAATCACTATAAAACGAGGCTGTATTCATTGCGGCAGCACATTTCACTTCCACTTTTTACCGTTATGATAACCATTGCTTATGACCGTCAAACCATTATCGTTCCAGTAACGGAAACGGTAGCAGGCGCTGTAACGTCACGTTGTTTAACGTTACGTGGTTGGTTTAAAGTGGCTTGGACGCATGCATTTGTTTAATCGGACGGTAAACCGCTAACATTTTATAAATGAGTCATTGTGATTTAGCGTTATATCTTGATAGTTGTTTTGCACCATGCAGTGGGTGTGTTTCGGACAGTTTTCATAAAAAAATGTGGCAGGTTTAATTACAACACCCCGACCTGACTAAACTTTATTAACACTGCAACAGGCAAACGGATAGTGAACATATGATATCAGTCGGGATTAATAGCTCGATGGTGGTTTAATGCCTAATCCTTACGTCATAGCAGGAAAAGCATTTTTTTTGTGGTGCGAATCAACACTCTCACAAACCAGACATCCTGTCTCTCACAATCAGGCCTGAACATATGGGCCTTTCACAAATGTCAGAAAATATCCACTCTAATTTGAGAAAGTTTCTCTGTATGTGATAGTTTGTCTTTTTCTCTCAGGTTTAACAAGGACAAGAAATGTCTCAGGCCGACAAAATGAAGGTGAGTCTGAACAGAAACCAGGTGTTCCCACTGAAAGATTCACTATGTAACATTACCAGATTCCTTCTGCTGCTTCGGGCAACGTCCTTTCAGACTGATCGTTGAGTTAAAACCTTTTTGTCACAAACGCCAACTTTTTCTGTGCTTTAAAAAAAAAAAAAAAAGCATTCCAATTCTTTTTTTTTTAACCGAGCATTCTCATGTGTGTTTTTAGTGGATCATTCTGTGCCCCTCCACTTTTATTCACATTGTGGTGTTGTTTATAATGCTAACATCACACACACATGTCCTCAGTGTTTACCATCCTCTTGACACAGTCGGGCTCATCAACAGAGCCCGGTCCCCCACCGCCTGACTATAACACTCCACCGGTCACTCCCCCTCATACTGCACATGTCACTTTAACTGCAATTCATCACTTTGTCACTTGTCACTTTGTCTCTTGTCTGTTACTTGTTTGTTAGTGCACTTTATGCTTAATATTTTTCAACTTTTTAATATTTAAAATTTGTTTAACTTTATTCCCCTGTTTTATACTAACCCATAGCCTTAGCCTTATTCTTACTAACCCATTGCATTAGCATTTCATTCCACTTTATTTTATTACCTGTGCACTGTTGTCTTGTCTGTCTACTGTCGCGCACTAACCGCCAAGACAAATTCCTTGTATGTTTGACATATTTTGGCTAATAAATGTTTCCTGATTCCTGACACACGCTCGTATAAGCTTCATTCGCTCTAAAAGGCCCAAACTCTGATCGTCAAAACACTGCTTATCAGGCTTCTCCGTCGTGACCTTCGCTGAAATAAGGAAGAGAGGGTTCCTACATTTTGCTTTGCAGAAAATGAAAACGAAAGAAGCAACCTGTGGCTTTTTGTAGCATTGCCACGGGGGTGTTAAGAAGCTATCACATTGGCCTACTTCTCTCCTTTATGACCTGAGTAGGAAATGGCTTCAGAGATTGGAGAGGTGGTCTTTTTCAAATAGACCACAGAGGAGTCACTCTAGCCCTCCTAAAATACCAAACATTATTAAAGCAAACAATGACTTTCCTGTTGTACTGTGCTTTTCTGTTCTACAGCAGGGGCAGTTCACCAACCCTGAAACCCCGGGGTATGTTGGATTTGCCAACCTCCCTAATCAGGTTCATCGCAAATCAGTAAAGAAAGGATTTGAGTTTACGTTGATGGTTGTAGGTGAGTGTGTCATTGCGGTTTCTCACGCCTTCTCTTGTTTTTGAAGCTGCTGGTGAGCCTCAGCTTTGACGAGGTTAACGCTGGAAAGCCACTGAAGGAATGTTTGTTTTTGTGATAAAATGTATGGTGGGATTTTGGTCTCTGCCCAGCAAAATTTCCAGTAGTTTTCATTTGCTGTCTTTTTGTAACTGCCTTTCAATGTAACCATTTTACATCTCTAACCTCTGTAGTTCATTTGGTTTGAATGCGTAGAAAACGCGAGTTGTTTTGGGTTTGGCCATAACTGTATTTTAGTGTGGATTTATGCTTTTGTTGGAGGAAATAGCGGCTGTCTCATTAGCGTAGTTGCTCAGCTGGTGTCAGATTAAGCGTAAACTCTTAAAGTGAACACTGCGGCTGTGTGAACCGCCCGCCTTGTTGGTAAGGGGGAGGGGAGAAGCTCTTGTGAATGCTGCTCATCCTTTTGCTTTAAAATAAACCAGAGAGGAATGAGCCTCGAGGGGCCTCGGGAGACTGATTCACACGGTGGACAAGGCCTGCTGGCCCCTCTATTGCAAGAATCCTTATTGAGTTACTTATTGACCTTTTGTGTGACTCGGGCTCTGAAACAAATCACTGTTCTAGGTTTCTTTTAGAGACCCTCAGATTTAATCCACAGATAGAAACATAATTTATATATGAAAATGAATGTTCTTTTTAGAATGCATCATGTTTTATTGCCCTTTTCCCACTAAAAACATCTTCTACATGCAACTGAAGCTGTAATGTAAATAATGTGCATTCTGGCAAATTGGCAGTTTAGGATGTAGCCAAGAGGCAAGACATCTGTAAATATTTTGTTACAGCTCTGGTGGGAACCACAGTAGCAGCATTCCTTATTAAAACCATGCTTATGGTTGTTTATCCCACAGCATCCGTAACTTGAGACATAAGTAACGTATAATAATTCACCCGACACTGTTCAAGCAAAGCTTAATACTGAAGTCTGGTTTAGTAGCATGCATTTCCGTGTGCTGCGTGGCCTACCGTGCGTCACAGGCAGATGTCTTGTTTCCTGTATCTCCTTTTGTTCTACTCTGCACTGGCGGAGGTTTGCACTGACAAGAACCTGACAGCTTAAGCCAATTGTGGGCAACAGTGTGATATTGCTTCATTCTAGTTGACTGCATCGTGATGCATTCCTCTGTTGTCCAAAGGTGAATCTGGACTTGGAAAATCCACCCTGATCAACAGCCTGTTCCTCACTGACCTTTACCCCGAGAGAGTCATCCCTGGAGCAGCAGGTAAACGCACGTACACTCGAGGATCCTTGTTTTCATCATCGTTGAACGGTTTTGTCCTTGCATGTTGTTAGAGTTCTTGCACTTTTTTTCATCCCTGAACAGAAAAAATAGAAAGGACTGTTCAGATTGAGGCGTCAACGGTAGAAATTGAGGAGCGAGGGGTGAAGCTCCGTCTCACTGTGGTCGACACGCCAGGATATGGAGACGCTATCAATAGCCAAGACTGGTAATATTGGTTTTGAATGTTTTAGATATAATCAGAACGTTTGGTTTTAGTATTGAGCGGGTGTCCTACCAGCACGCATCACTCTGTGACCAATTCTGATATGTTCTGCAAAATCTGACTTGTATTTCCCTAATTCAGTTTCAGCACCATTATCAGCTACATCGATGACCAGTTTGAGCGCTACCTCCATGACGAGAGCGGTCTAAATCGCAGACACATTGTCGACAATAGAGTTCACTGCTGCTTCTATTTTATTTCTCCGCTGGGCCATGGGTGAGTGCTGCAGAACCTACTAGCACACGTACAGGGCTTATTAGTTTGTAAAAGAAATTCTTTATAGTCAACCAACTGTATATTTTATGCCCTCGTCATTCTTTGCATGTAATCAATCTTTGCTTTATCTTTTCCTCCGACCCCTCTTTGATCCTGGTTTTTGTCTTTGTCCTGTCCTTCCAGGCTGAAACCGCTGGATGTTCAGTTTATGAAGGCCATTCACAATAAGGTCAATGTGGTTCCTGTCATCGCCAAGGCAGACACGCTCACCCTCAGAGAGAGGGAGAGGCTCAAGCGCAGGGTGAGGACAACAGAATCCCCCCATTGTTCAGGATCCTTTGCAGTTTCTGTAATGATAGCAGTAGCTACACTGTGCTCATGGCCATTGCTTTACCATCACAGGCCATTAATGTACAGTTTGTACATAAAGTACTTTATTGAAGCAAGCTTATGTCACCGAAATGTAAATAAACCCCAGTCGGACAGGAAGTGTTGAGGCGTGATAGTCGGAAGTTATTTTGGAAAGCGTATTTTGGAAAGTGTTATTCTTAATATGTTATGTGCTTAATAAAGTAAGAGGTTGTCATTAACAGTATGTAAAGGACATAGCAGAAGATAAAATGTGGTGATAACCCATGTTGGGTCTTCTAAGATTCTGGATGAGATTGATGAACACGGCATCAAGATTTACCACCTTCCTGATGCCGAGTCCGATGAGGATGAGGACTTCAAAGAGCAGACCAAGATCCTCAAGGTAAACTTCTGCCAAACCTTTCATGCCTTCATCTGTATGTGACGAGTTGGTAAAAGTTGCTTTTACCGCGGGATTGTCAGTTTGTCATTGATATAAGTACGCTTTAAATCCTCTAACAGAATTCCATCACGGTTTAATAAATACACAAGGGATCTGTTTCATTACTGAAACAATATTTGTGATTGAACCGATACCACAGACGTGTAAGCTACTGCTCTTCTCCAGGCCAGCATCCCATTTGCGGTGGTGGGATCCAACCAGCAGATTGAGGCCAAAGGGAAGAAGGTGAGGGGCCGCCTGTACCCATGGGGAGTCGTGGAGGTGGAGAATCCAGAACACAACGATTTCCTCAAGTTGCGGATCATGCTGATGTGAGTGGTGGACAAGCCCAAATCCTGGTGCTGTTTTTTTCCTCTTTTTGTTCCATTAAGTTAAAGGTGATATTGAGTTACTATTTTTCCAAACTTGATGTCAGTTTGTCCTCAAACGCAGTGGCAAGAAACTGTATCTTGCTTGTCAGAGTTTCTAAGTTTGACATGTTGCTTTAAAACACGAGACAAAAATCTACCCCTTTTTTAGCTTTCTGTTAACGTGTAGCCGTGACAGAAAATAAGAAAAGAGGAATACTAACAACAGTGTAATGTGGTGCAGACAAGTTGTATAAAACCATTTATTTTTGTTATGCGCACTCTTAACCATTCAGTCTCTACAGGAACAGAGAAGTAAAATCTGTCGTTCTCCAAATGTCTGAGCGAGATAATTTACTGATGGTGACTTTTCCACAACCCTGCAGCACCCACATGCAGGATCTACAGGAAGTGACCCAGGACCTTCACTACGAGAACTTCCGCTCGGAGCGCCTCAAACGGGGTGGCAGGTTGTCCTCCCATGGTTACATTCTGCCTCTTTCTCCTGCGTACGTACTTGTCCGTCAGCTTGCTTCTCTGCACCTCCTCCACCTCAAACAACAAACCTTTAATTGGAAAGATAGTGTGAGAAAAGGAACTACGGTAGTCAGGCACATGCACACAGTGGCCACCACAGATGCTGCAGTAGTGAAACTGAGCCAAAGCATCCACAGCTGTTTAGAAGGAAGACCGGTTAAATTCTGTATAGTGGGTCATGTGCCTCCAGTTAGTCATACGGTAGAATGTTGTTGAACTAGTATCATTCTTTAGAATCCTAAAGTAGCTCTAACTCATTATCCTTTTGCCTGTTCACACGTAGTGAGGGAGGAGCAAGCTTAATGCTGTGGTTGTACACGGCTAGTCGGTAGCTAAATGGCATGTTTAAGTATCTGTAGAAGTTACAAACGGGACTTGTTGTGTAACATAGTGTGGACATATCATCACTTAACACTCCATGTAGATCAAAAAGATTCTTTTAGACTGTCTTCGAAAGCAACCCAAGATAAAGCAGTGGTTTTACAGTCACCACATGGCTTCGCCATTTGTCCAATGATGGAGGCGGTGGACTGTGGAGGTACCGTTTGTTTTCACTCGGGGGAGGTAACCCTGTTCCCCTGACTCTCGCACTTGTCGCTTCTCTCTGGGAGCTTCCCGCTTTCCTCTTCTCTATAGTTATTTGTTGTAGCTGCCCACTTTTCTCTTCTGAAACTAACCCACTGACCCTTGCTTCACTTTTTCTATGTGGCTTTTGTCATGTTTGCCTAATGCTACAACCTAAAGTAGATAGATGTGCACTTTGAGCCATGCAGACGTGTAAACTCTCCGTGTGGACTTTGCATTAACTTAATTCAATTTGACTCAATCAGCATTTATTTTGCGGAAATATCAGGTATATTCTGTTTGTGTGTGACATCTAAACTGACTAAAGTTGTGTTGATGCAGAAATGGACCGGAGCCGGAGGAAATGGACAAGGATATGATCCTGCAGGAGAAGGAGGCTGAGGTGAATTATTTCAGATATTCCACCACTTATGGCTAATCGCAATGAAATACGTTTGTCATCGATTGTCCTTCTGGATTTTGTGGGTTTTATTAGATATTAGTTTCATATTTTGGGAAGTATACTTGGTTGGTTTCTTGCTAGGGGAACTAATTCAGTGCTTTAGGTCAGCTGGTTGTATTTACTTATTATTTAATTATTTTTGACAGAGCCATTAACCACCTGCTGTAGTAACTGGTTATTTAGCACCCATTTTTTTCATTTAACTGTACATACAAACATTGCTGAACGATCCCTTTTTTCAAAGACCATTCACTGTCATGCAAGTCACTATCTAAAAACTAGGAACAACTCAATTTCTTTCTGTTAGTGTTTTAATAAAATTGTAATACCCACAATTAAACGGATTAAGTCCGGTTTCACTGTGGGATTCATTGCGGGACCTGTTGTGCTCATACATGTGGATGTGCTGTCACACAGTTGAGACGAATGCAGGAGATGATTACCAAGATGCAGGCCCAGATGCAGAAGCAGGGAGACGGAGATGGAGACGGCCCCAATATGTGAGAAGTCGATGGTAGGAGCAAGACCCATTTCCTGAAACGCCTGCATTCCTTTCTCAAAAGCCTTAAATTCTGCATCTTTAGATGCTGTAGGCGGGATTTAAGTTAACCTTGACTTTTTCTCTTCCTCCTGTAGGTATTTGAGCCACTGCTCGAGTTCGACGGAGGATGGCAGAAAACGCCTAAGCAAGTTATTGACTTGTACTGCTTGCCACTATTTTTATTCTAATCCTACACAGATCTGGATTTTTTTTTAAATATATATATACACATACAGTGAAGTATATTCAAACAGTATTACATTTATATATTTTCACACGGTTCGGTTTTTTTTTTTTTAAATCTTTTGCCAGTTACTGAAATGAAGTCACAGGACTTATCCTTTTTAAAATGGTGGCATATATCTTTGATACAAACTGTTACATTTTCTTTTTCATTTAGAAAAGCAAAGTACTGCTGCTTGTAGTTCTAAAACATCTCTCAGCATGCGCTAACTGCTCTGTGAAGGAGCTTCATGGGAAGTTGCCTATGCTAAAAACTAGTAGCAGAAGTAGCTTTTTCCACCATTGTTATGCCATTATCTTGATCTTCAAGTGAAGGGGTAACATTATTTTATTTTCCCTCTGATTCATATGTGACCACGCAAGCCTCCCAATGAATAGGGTCCATTAACTGTCAATCATATTACTCACCTCCTCTGCATGCAGCTCTCAACCCGTCTGGTCAAATCTTCAGGTGAACTTTCTTCTCTAGTGTTATGATCAGCGTCGCCCTTCACTGAAGACTTGTTATCCGTTAGTGAGGTTCTCTGATCAGTGTCTTAAGTAAAATGGTAACCTCCTCTTTGAGTTTGACATGAATTAGATGAGCCCCTCCTGACCTCCTACAGTAGACCTGACAAACAAAGGATGCCTGTTTAGTGCTTTCGGTCAATTAAAAGTAATCACCCCATGTTTCCTCCATACTGTAAAGTGAAGTCATGTGCCAGAGAGCTTTAGCTGTGTGCGTTCTTTTTTTGACGCAGTGAGATTTGTGGTATAAACCTTTACCTGTCGCAACTGCCGTGTACTTTGTGGTTTCCATGACCACAGAGGTTTAAAGTGACCCAATGAGGTCATTGTAGCCAACGTTTCCCTCACCAGCCAAGATGCGAGTTCTTGACATTCCTTTGTGTTTTTATCTAATAAAGCACCAAATAGTTCTTGATGCATATATTGTAATAAGTTTTATTAAACTTTTATTAATCCTTATGTGAGCCCTTTCAACTTGTCTATACAGCTTGTACACACGCAAAATAATACATTCAAGAATAAATAAATATTGATAAATGCTCCACTATGGACCGGCACATTTTATAGTATAAATGAACCTCCAGACTGACTTATTACAAATGTTGGTACGTGAGCATTAAGCAGTAACATCAAACACAATGGGACACTTTCCATAGTCTTTATTATAGTTTTTTTTTTTTTCTTCATCTACCAGGTATACACAACGCTCTAAATGTCATGGCTTTTTTGTTTTAAATACTCTCCGCTCTTAAAGAAAAACTGTAAAAATATTTAATTATAACTAATTAAAAGATCTCTTGGGGGACAGGACTGGGAAGGGTACAAAGATACAGGGGGGGGGTTGTCTGAGGTTCTTATCTGAGACGTTTGGGGGTCTGGGAGACAGAAAAGGGAGCACGTTTAAGTTACATCCAGCTGGGGTTTCACCGCGAAGACTGGGTGGTGTTACCATTTAAAGAAAACCTGAAACGACAAACAGGAAGTCGATTAATTGCCGCGAACGGATGATCATTAAATGATTCTGGTTGGTACGTCACCTGCACACTCGCTCCATCATGTGTGTGACGAGGAGGTCGGAGATGCCCGGACAGGACTCCTCGGCCAGATTGAAGGCGTTTTCCAGCTCCTCGATGGCTCCTACGCCCCCGCCGCTCGCCCGCCGCTTCTCCTTCAACTGGTGGTAGTAAAAAATGTGTAAATGGAAGGCTACCGTCAAACATGACGTAATTTCAACTGTACGGTTGTTTTGTTGCTGTGTGTGTGTATGTATGTGTGTATATATATATATATATATATATATATATATATAACCAGTTCAATTTACTGTATATATGTATATGCAACACTTAGGCCTACCTCTCTGAAGATAGGCGTTACCAAAGCAGACAAGCATTGGGATTTAGGTTGCCGTTTCACCAAATCTCCTGACTGAGAAGAGGACAAAGGATGTTAGGGGGGGAGACCGACTAAATATTTGACTCCCGACTGGTAACCAAGCGCGTCTTACCTCGGAATCTGTGTGTGTGTAGCCCTTCTGTAACTTGTTCAAAGAGCTGGGTCGGACTGTAGGAAAGGTCCACATGGGACACGTATCCCCATCGCCATCAGCATCCCTGAAGGAATGAAGGAGCGGGAAGAATGAAGGAAAGGGAATAAACCAGAGGGAAACTAAGTGACCCTACTTTTACATTATTCAGTGAATTCAACATTCAGCCGGAAAGGTTTCATCCCTCTAATATCCAAGTAATTTATTCTGAATCTTTATATTAATTTATGTGGCTCTGACTAGATCTTTAATGAACTGTACATTTGTAAGCGTATCAATGTGTTCGTGAGACTGACATATCTGAGTCGTCGGAGCTGGATTCCTCCCCGTGTCCCTCCGACTTCCAGCGGCGGTAGCGATCAATCAGCTCCGTCAGGTAGGCCGTCTTCTTGGTGTAGCGTGTGATGAACTTGTGCTTCAGCAGCTCTTTGGCTGTTGGCCTCTGTGCAGACGTTCAAAGATTCATTAGGTCATGTTGATCCAATAATACACATTTGGTCTGATAAATGATCTCCACTGCACATGGATGGAGGCAGGTACTACTTACAAAACGAGGGTCTTTATTTAGACAAGCCTCCACAAACTCTTTAAAGGGCTTGCTGTATGGTCCCTCGAGTGTGGGTGGGGTGTTTTTCGGGATGAGGAAAAGGACCCTCATGGGGTGTAGATCAGAGTTGGGAGGTTCCCCTTTGGCCAACTCAATTGCAGTGATTCCCAGGGACCAAATGTCAGCCTGAGGGTGAGAGTGGCGTATAAGTTAGGTGTGTTAACTTCACATACAAACATTGATCCCATGCTGAACATTCCATGTAGTGGATAACAAGATATCCACTGCACCAATAACACAATATTATCTCCTTATGGGCTCAACGTGCCACACAGAGCAGCAACACTTGTCCACCTGACAGACTCTGGCCTCACCTTGAAGTCGTAAGCGGACTGTTTGATAACCTCCGGAGCCATCCAGAACGGTGTGCCTACGAACGTGTTCCTCTTGATCTGGGTGTCTGTCAGCTGTCCGGCTACCCCGAAATCTGCCAGCTTCACCTCGCCCTGCTCCGACAAGAGCACATTGGCAGCTGGCAGAAAGAAAGACAAGAACAAGCAAGGCTAAAAAAAAACGGTTGGTCAACACAAATGGAGTTTTATTTTGAAATAATTATGATCATAGCAGCAACTTTATTTTAGACCAATCGAACACAACTGCTTTGAACGCCAGAACAATAATTATTCCTTGAGCAGTTTTATCAAAATTTAAGAATTTGGTATTTTGTTTCAGATGATTCATGGCGAAAAGAAATGTGTCCTTGGGCAAGACACTTAACCCAACATTGCTCCTGTATCTGTGACCAACGTGTGTGAATGTTAGTTACTGATGGGCAGGTGGCTCTGGGCTTTGAGTACAGTCCATTTACCATCATTCTTTTTTTAATTCTCCAATGATTCCAAAAATGGAGAGAAGATGTGGTTCTCACAGATAAATACATTCAACACCTTCAGCGACTTGAGAGATTTCAAGCTCACAGATGGTGATCAAACAATCGCAGCATAAGATCGTACTTCAGACTGTGGACTTATTCTGTCCAGCATCTGGTTAAGACTGGAGATACATTTTGTTACCTGGCTGCTCCATCTGACTCTTTACCTGAGCAACACAGTCAAATGATATTCATTTATATTTGTAGGATGCTAAATTTAAAAAAGGGTTATTGATTACCTTTGATATCTCGGTGGATTTTCCTTTCAGAGTGCAGATACTCAAGCCCCTTCAGTATTTCCCTCAATATAGTAGCGATGTAAGTCTCTTCTAGTGGCCCCGGGCGGAGCTAAGGAGGAAGAACAAATGAATCACAAAAATGTGCAAATTAGGTAAAAGCATCAAAAACGGGTCAGGTTTTGCTTCTCATGTGTAAAAATGCTGCAAATTTCTATCACACTTTGTATAAAAAAAAAAAAGGTCTTACCAGATCCAGAGCAGATCCTCCACCTAAATACTCCATGATGATCCATAGCTTGGTCCCCTAAGAGGAATAAATATTTTTATCATTTTATGTTTAACAAGGCTTTGCCTTTGACGGTTGGAACTGATGTCTGTGTCTCTAAGCATCTTCATTCGGATAACTTATAATATCACCTTCAGGTACGATCCATAATACTTGGTAACAAAAGGACTGTCACACTGGCTCAGAACTGTGATTTCCTGTTGAATGTCTTCAATCTCGTCCTCGGCCTCCTCCAGATCTATAATCTTGATCGCCACCACCTCCTTTGTGCGATTGTTGATTCCTTTGTAGACCTCGCCGAAGGAACCCTTCCCGATCCGCTCCTGCTTGGTGAAGTACTCCTCGGGGTCCAACCGGGTATTCTAGTCCGGGGACAGTAAAGACAGCATTGAATTATTGAGTACATGTCACGATGACTGTGGAGGCTTATTTGTGTCTATAGCATTGTGTGTGTGTGTGTGTGTGTGTGTGTGTGTGTGTGTGTGTGTGTGTGTTTTCCAGGCTCTTGAACAGCACACCAGTAAACAACTTATTTTACAAACAAGTACTATTTTTATATGCGGTTAATTAGATGTTACAGGTGAAGGCTTTGCAATAATGTCCCTGTCCTCGAGCACTGCTGGAATGGTTAACCTTTCTCATCTGCGTATAATAACTTGCTCTATGTAAAGTTAATTCAAGGAGCATGACAATTAAACATATAGCAGTTCTCTCTTTAGCACTTTAAGAAGTCAATACATTTAAAATGGTTTAGCATGTACGATATGTGACAACTGCAAGCCCGAAGCAAGATGTTGGTGTATACCGTCACGGAATGTAGAGATTGGAATTGCATATTTGGGATATTTTTAGTGGGGCGTTGGCATAGTTACACCTGAATGATAAGGAGATGAAAATTTATATTTGAATATACATGTGTGTATTTTAGGTTTTACCACCTTGCATTGGTGGCGTAGACCCCTACGCACCTATTCCTAGAAAGCCTGACAGTCATGGGTGTCCGCCTCGTCTTGGACAAGAAGAAGGGAGGTGACAGTTGGTGAAAAGATGATTTCTGTACCTGGTTTTGCATGTCTCGAAGATGTGCCATTCCCTCCTCAGGTCGGGCGGGACCGGGACAGCCACAGCTCTCCCTTTTCCGAGCTTTTTAAAGGGTCCTTTCGGGGGGTTTTCTCTCCCCCCTCTCAGCTGTCTGGGGAAGCTAGCTAGGTGGCTAGCCACCCAGATAAACACCCAATCTGCTGGCTTCAACGGGGCTGTCACTCCGCGCTCTGTTTTCGGCCTCCAAGCCCACCGGAGGACCGAGGAGTCCCGGCGAGACAGCAACCTCTTAACCGAGGGACTCCATTTGTATCAGCGGCGATGAATACGAATTGTGGCGCTTCCTTCGTCTATTAATATTTAATTCATTCCAAGGAACGCTTAGCCTGTTGTTCATTTGAAGCTTGAGGAGGGCAAAAATAATGGCACCAGCCGAAGGGCGCATGCGCAGTGGGGTTAAAGACCGTGGAATTCTGGGGGCTGTAGTTCTAAGCTTTGTTGGGCTTTTTCAGTCCTGTAAATTCTGTGCCTTACAGTTGGTTATCATTCAAGGAACTCGTTTGTGTTTAGTTAAATTATAGCAGGGACATTACAGCTTTTTTCAATAATTTGCGTTTAATTGATTCAAAGAACAGTAACAGGCAAAGCTGAAGCGAAGTCGTTTTTCAACTGATATTGGATTTTGTACTACAAGCAAAATTATTTTGATGTCTGTAGCTGTCTTATTCCAAAAGAGACAACAGATGCCTTGAAAACAATGTATCATAACATTTATATGGACATGCACAAAAGTTGTGACAGTCTGGATGTCGGCCTATTTTTACTGTTGAAGTTGTACATACTTCACGACATGAGGTGTGTAAACATCAATTTTGATTTAGGGTTAGATTTCTGTTTGATTTCTGTTTGCATTCAAACGTTAGTATTAAAATGTTGCATTTGTCATCGTTCTGATCATAATCGAAACAACTAACTTGTGTGTGTTGAGTTGTGAATGCTCGTTTTTATACCTAGCTAGTGCCTGCTGCTGCGGCTATCTAATGACAGTATATATTATAAACTCCGCCCCAGCGTATTTTTGCTGGTGGATGCTACCAAGCGCACCAGCTCGAAGAGGCGTGTCTTACGGTTTTACTCCTCGTCCTTTCAGGTGATCAACACAGAACGAACCGCATACTGACACATGCCATTTTATCCCCCGTTACTAAAACCATAACGGTGAGTACGGTAGTTATATAAACTAAAGTCATGTCAAGCGATGGCTATACCTGCTTCTCTTGTCGGTTGCTGTGGTCGTGCAGCGCGCTGCTTGGCTAACGTTAGCTTGTTTTGGTGAAGATAACGTTAACGTTAGCTAGCTAGCTAATGCTAAACACTCTGGTGACATTGGCTGCGAATGGCGTCTTGTGTGGATTTTCATTCACTGACATTGCAGCCATCTGCCAACAACCGCCATATCTTTGTAATTTGTAATAATTGAATGCAACAGAATGCATTTTTATCTAGTTAATATATATTGTAGTTATTAGTGTTGGGTAATGTATCCTTACACTACACTTAGTTTGATTGAGCTGAGCTTGGCACCTTGACTTCATCGTTTTGCAACAATTATTTGTATTACTAATATCTGCTTTAATATTCTCTAACTTTTGACTTACCTTTGATTTTTATACTGCTTTCAACTATCATCAGGAAATATGGATGGCAATTCAGGATCACTTACGCTCACATTAGAGAGATGGCAGACATCCAGGGCTCACTTATCTGAGCTTATCAGACATTTGACGAGCTGTCTCTGTGATAGCACCATCACCAACGTATAGCTTGAATGTTTAATACCTAACATGCACTCAAGCCATAATATTAATTTGTTCTTATTAAGTGTAGTTCAATTTCCTTCCATTTGATGCCTACAGTCTGGATGAGTGGGTCGTTCGCTTCCCCCTCCGCTGAGGTGGCTGAGATGGACCGCATCCATTTTGAGTTGGAGTACACGGTGGGAATCAGCCAGCGCATGCGAATCCCTGAGACCCTCAAGGTGGCTTCAGAGAACCATCCAGGTTCTCTGTCACTTCAGCATCCCCTCCCTTTACACACAACGATGATGCAGGTGCCGGAGAGAATCATTGTAGCAGGTGAGGACAAGAAGATGAGGGGCTGCAAGGCTGTTATTAAGCACTAAATTGTGCATGAAAATCTTGCATTGAAGTGCACCAATGGCAGCACTCCGTTTAAAGTGTTTTGATATCATTGGAAGCTCCTACAACCAACCATTTGGATTTAACTGTCACGATCTTATTCACTTACTCCAAAGGTGATGATGGGGACCTTCAATTTTCTCATCCTCGAGACTTGGACTTAATCCAATCCCTCCCTCCCATGGACCTTCTGAGCATGAAGGCCCCACCACGTATCCTCACACTATCAGAGCAGCCACTGGACTCCCTTGAAACCGAACAAACTGCCACATCACAGAGCAATCCCATCCATGCAGTAAGGGTCAAATCATAGTGTTCATTCTGTGTCCTTTTTTGTTGCTCATCACAATTAATTAAAACTTTGGCAGTAATCCTAATAGTGGGGCCCTATTAAACTATTATGTGCGTTTTATACAATTATTGAAAGGTTACAGCCTTGAGTTAACATTCAAGATCATACCTGGCACATTTACAATAATACTTTTGTGGTATAAGCTATTAGTTACATCAGTAAGTTTGCTTATTACAATATTGTAGATGCAGTCACATTGTGAGTATTAATCAGATCATGTTGAGGAAGTTGAAAGGCCTGAAGGTTAGCTGGTGAAAAACAGTAGTCAATTTAAAAATCATGGGGTTATTTCATGTCAATATAAACTAGCTCACCCATGACAGGGTGAAAGAAAAAAAAAGCATCAGCCATTTAAGGTTTTTGTGTGAGCCCTACGTAATTCTAAATCCTTGTGTCCATCATAGGCTCACTTTCATGCTCGGCCTCGGAGGGAACGCAGTGCCAGTGAGAACTTGTCTGGCCGCCACAGCAATCAGATTGTCCGAGGTGACGCAAGGTGAGCACACATCTACAGCTAATATATTTCATTTCAACACAACCTGATTTCCATTCTTAATTTGTTATCTGTTATGCTGATTTCACCCCTGGTATGTTTTAAAAAAAAAATCTTATTTCTTTACCATTTCTCCCCACTTACTTCTCTGACAGTGTAACCCCTTCCCCTTCTGCCCCCCCAGTCCGGTTGTGTCCCCCCCTCTGTTCCCCTGAAGATGCTAACATCCACCTGTTTACCACTGCGGGGTTCCTGTCTTATGTCAAGTCAACAACCCGTCGGGCCTACCAGCAGGTGCTAGAAGTGCTGGATGAAAGCCACCGCAGGTCATTTCTATCGCCTTTTTCACTTTTTATTCCTCAGAAGTCGATTTATTCAAGTTTCTGAGAGCAAACAGCTGGTCGTGGTTGTGTATTTCTTTTTTTCATAAAGAAGTACTAATTCCATTAGAATTGTTACCTCTTAAGATAACTGCTTAAAGGGGAGGGCTATCATTAAGGAGGAATTGGGGCAAAGGGGTTTCTGAAGCAAGGACAAAACATTCTTGACTAATTCCACAATGCAGTAAAGTGTGGCACATCGTGCAATTTTTAACGGCATGATGTTTGGTTCCGTTTGTCCAACCTAATTTTGAGATGTGACATAACAAAGTACCATTATAAACTAAGTATATTCTAAAGTCATTTTTAGTTTCCCACATTCTTTTTTTTGGAAACACTGATTTATTTAAGTCAGGAACATTGTTCGAGTGGAGGTACCTGAAGTTGTCCGGGTCATGAATGGGGCACGTCTTTGTGGCCATTATGCTCCTGTCCATCAGTCTTTTTTGGGGTGAGGAAATGTGTGTTGGTGTTTCTGTAGCTAAGCAAACACTCCCTCAGCTAGACATTTATTACCACACTGTTGTCATGACTCTAAATTTAGATTTAATGATCTCCACAGGACGCACCTGGACCTAGCTCTGGATATAAACCCTGACGAGTCCGGCCTAGTGGACGCGTCATCGCTACGACGACAGGTGATACACTACAGTGCAACTGCTGAAGCTGTACTTAGGATTTGTCATGTAAATGTGTTTTGATGTGCCATTATTTCAGTACGCATAATGTCACGAAAACTCTAAAAGACAGGCCTGTCGTGTCTTTTTTAGATTTTTGATATAATTGCATAAGTGATTTGTGCCACATCATCTTGGGTACCTTAAACTTAATAACGGTAATCCTATCTCTATATTTTGGCGAATGTTACCCAGGACCAGTACAAATGGAGAAACACTGTTTTTGTGGGCACTCAGATTGTGAAGTTGAACCGGCGACTGCAGCTGCTTGAGGAAGAAAACAAAGAACGCTCCAAGCGAGAAGTGATCCTGTATTCTGCTACACTGGCATTCTGGGTAATTAACACCTGGATCTGGCTCCGTCGCTAAGATTTTGCCAGACTGAATCTCAATGAACACTGGAAGCCAAGACAACGTCTTGTTAAAAGTGCAACCATTAAAACACAGTATGATAATTTATTACATATAAAGGAAACCATTTGAAACCACACTACAATCCTCTGGGTTTCTATTGCAAATTCTATGTTAGGATTTAGTTTGAAATTTCAAACATAGCGCTATCAAGACAAGACCGGGGGGGGTGGGTAAAACTTGACTTTTGAAGATTTTCAAAACTTTGGTTGGTATTCACATCAAACTATAAATTGGCTTTGGTCGGGTGCCACTAAACGCCACTAAAACTAGAAGTAAAGCTGAAGTTAGCGTATTTCACATTCAAAGATTCATCATACTTGAGAGAGAAAATAACATTTGTAAATTAGACTTTTTAAGTGGAAGAAAATAATGGTTAGAAGGGAATCATGGGTTTACTGATGCCCAGACCTGGAGCTTTAGTTACAAGAACAAGTTTCGGACCGGTCTTGACTGTTTAATATTTGATTTAAAAAAATAAAAAAAGTGTCAGAGTAAGAACATTAAATCTAGAGATGCCATACTATTTACGCTGAATGTTCTTCGAGTTCTGCCTCACCCAACACATTTGTACAAAGTACTTGAATAACCTATTGTTGTAAATGTTGTAGTGTTGTTTACCGTTTGCAGTGACCTGTCATTGTGATGAGCTTGATGAAGTGTCAATACACACACTAAGGGAAAGGCCAATCTGTGCCATGATCATGTATTTATTTTTTTCCATGCTGTTTCCAAAGTTCAAGTTTTTTTCACCTAGAGAATTTGAACGTGTTTGGCCAGAATAAAAACATAGACTGTGGTTTTATTCATTGAACAGTGTGATCTTTGACCTAATATGATGACATTTAATGGATTGCTTTCCAAAAAAATATTGCTGTCATTATTTTCATATATTACAGCACCTATGACTGAAAGCTGGAGTTTAAAGTTACGTATTTTACTTTCCTTGTAAGATATTGACACATGCATTATTTGTAAAATAAACAATCATTTACTCCGGAGCCTTGTTTGTGTACAATGCTGACACCTGCTGCTGCAACAGCTGCTGCGCATCTGTGCAACACCAGGAAGTGATGCTTACGGGTCTGACTGGACTTCGTTGGAGAGAGGCAGAGATTCTTAAAGTATAACAGAGGTCCGCTTAAACAACAGAGCGCGTTTGATTTGGATCGAACTCAGACACGAGTTTGTTGTTGTTTTCCACTTGGAAGTTTCCATAGCGGGGCTCTGCTGCGCGATGGGGATCACTAAACTGGCCGACTTGATCCGCCTAAATGCTCCCGATGCCATTTCTCATAAGGATATCATTGACTACTCGGGTAACGTCGCTGATCTGGCATCAATCTCCTTGTTCTACTTCCATGTTTTCTTTCTTTCTGTCCTATCAAACAGTGATGCTAACTGCTAACGTTAGCATCACTTCTGCTTTGCGTTAGCAGATGTTGTTGTTTACGATACAAACAAAGCACCGTGCATTGCAGCAAATAAAGATCATAGTGATTTAATGTAGCTGAAATGCTGCCAAAGCGCTTATACTGCTGTTTAAAGACGTATTTCCTTCCATTTAAAGGAAGTACAGTAACACGGTTTGCGTAGTTGTGTAATGGACTGAACAGGAATATTTTCCTCAGAAATGAATTGGAATAAATGTCTTACGCTCTTTGTGGAACCATTTAGGTACTAAGTAGGAGTAAAAAGTAGTGTCAGTAAAAGTACAACTCTGGGCAAAAGTGGACAAAATAAACATTATTGACATAAAATACTAGTAAAAGGTTTGGACTCACTTTCTCATTCTAAGAAAGTGTGTCAACCTTTGACTGGCACTGCAGATACATACGTACATGAAATGGTTCATTATTTGGTGCTGATGAAGTTGATGCTTTGTTAAACCTTAAAGGAAAAGTAATCGCACTGGACACCTCTGTTGTTATGAACCAGTTCCGTGCGGCTACACCTTCACTCAGGTGAGTGTTTGTCTTACTGAATCTAATAAGGACGTATTTATTTTACATGCTTTTCCTCTTTTGGCAAACAGAAAACCATATCTATTGATTGCCCATTTCCTACCCGGTTCATTAAGTTTGAATTACACCTTTCGAAGTCCAATATGATAACCCCACAATCACTTGCCTAAAATACTCACACCAATACTTTGACTGTGTCTGTATTGACTAAATCTGTGCTTTTTGAGGTTGCACTTTGTGGTTTTGTTGTATATGATAAAGTTCTCTTGACAAATGTTTATAATATCTTTAACAACTAATTTGAATATAAGCAAAAACATTAGAAATATCTCATACAATCATGCAATCCGATACAGCCACAAGCTACAGCCATTAAGCTCAATCAAAACCTCCCTGACAGTCTCCATCCTTTTAACAATCTACAGGGGTTTCTATCCTTTGGCTTATTTGTGTGCTGACACTCTTTCTTTCTCTCCAGCCCCCTGACAGGCCTCTTCTTCCGCACACTCACCTTCCTGGAACATGATATTAAGCCGGTCTTTGTGTTTGACGGGAAGCCTCCAAAGGAGAAGGCAGCTGTTGTGAGTGACACCTTTAGGGGCCAAATCTTTAAACTCGACATGCCGCGTCCAAACACGTCTTCTTGGTGTGTAAAACAGTCACTCCTCCTCTGAGAATGACTAATCTGAATTCTACCCTCGTACTCATAACGCTGGTGGAACTTCTCTCCTTACATGCGCTGACTTGAGTTTATCTGACGATGGGAAGTAAATGCGATATGATGCAGCACCTGTAGTGTAATAAACTCCCACCCGTTCTGATCGAAGTTCCTGTTTTTCTCTTGCAGCTGGAGAAGAGAGCTCACGCAGCTGGTTGGAGGTCAGCCAACCGCACCGGCGCAGGTACAAGTTGTTGGTTATAGAATACATTACACTGTGAGTATCATTTGAACATCAAGTCTTCTGAAGTGAACCCTGACACTTGTGCTCCGTGCAGCGTCATCCCAGACCACCGATTGTCTCCAGCTCCTGAAGCTTCTCGGTGTACCCGTCGTCCAGGTGCGACCTTGCTGAGTGTTTTTCTCCCACTGTCTCTGCCCTCGCTTTATTCACTTCATGCATTTTCATTTATGTGTCCCTCTCTTTCGCTCTGTGTGGGGCTCCAGGCTCCAGGAGATGCTGAGGCACTGTGCGCCTGGCTGGTAAAACAGGGCACTGCGGACGCTGTGGCATCAGAGGACATGGACACACTGCCTTTTGGAGGCAATATTCTGATTCGCCAGCTAAATGCCAAGAAGGACAGGTGAGAACTGCTCAAGTGACGTGTAACTGTTTTAATCCATTCATGTGTCACATTGATATGCCACAAATTCCCCAACTATCACATCTATATTCATTTTGTTAAAAGCCTTTGGCCTACATGATTTGCATACTTGGATGCATTTTTGTTAAATGATAAAACATCATCCTGTCAGCCTCAACTAATGCCGAAGTAGAAATGCCGCTATATGGGATTTCCTCCTCTGATCTTCATTTTCACAAATTGAAGAATCGTCTCTTAGCTGAAGGTGAACTGAGTTTTCTCAAAACTGATCCAATGCTGACCAGCTCTTTTTCTTCTTTATAGTGAGGTTGTTGAATATTCTTTAAACAAGCTGTTAGAGAAACTCCAAATTAGTCACGAGGAGGTGAGGCTGAATCTTTTCAACGCATCTTTGAAAGTATATCATAATGATAATAAATGCATCATAATGCATGACACCTCTTTGCAAAAATACAACAAACCGTCTTCTGCCATTTTCTTCCACCAGTTTGTTGACCTGTGCATTTTGCTGGGCTGTGACTACTGTGACAAGATCGCCGGTTTGGGTCCAAGGAGAGCTCTGACGTTGATCCAGAAGCACCGTACTATTGAGAATGTGGTTTTGCATGTCAACAGAAAGGTACCACATGGACGACCGGTGGTCTTTTATAACTATAAAAAAAAAAAGTAAGATCTGATGAGACATTAGCATTTACTGCCTTCAGACTCATCCCGTGCCACAATTTTGGGGGTACAAAGAAGCACGGAAGATATTCTTGGATGCACCACAGACCGAAGCTCCTGAACTCAGCTGGACTGAGCCCGACGAAGAAGCCTTAGTTGGCTTCCTCTGTCACGTCAAACGTGTCAAGTACGTACTTGCAGCTTAAGCCTGTGTTTTATTTCACATGTTTCTTGGTCTTTTTTTTTTAAGACAGCGGGGACCGAATACTTGTTGGTGTGTTTTAGGGAGGACAGGGTCCGTAGTCGAATGGAGAACTTCCGTCAGACGCGGGAACGTAATCGAGAGGAGAGGGAAGAGGAGCGTGCAGAAGGACGCAGCAGGCAGACTCGCATGGAGGACTTTTTTAGAGTTACTAGAAAAAGGGAGCAGGTGAGCTCAACATAACAATCACCTACAAAAAAAACACATTACTTTAACATATTTAAATCTTATCCAATTCCTTCAGAAGATATTTAAATTGGCTTAAAAACTATAAAAGTATCTTGGAAATATTTGGAAATTAAGATTTAACAGTCAGTTATGTTAAAAAAAATCACTATTTATTTTTCAGTTGTTTAAAATGTTGTGAATTGTTTTCTTTCTTCCCTCTAGCCCGTCAAAGCTGCAGACCCTTTAAGCAGCAACAGAAAGAGACCAAAGACCAAATAGGATACTATTCCACCATCCACGTTTGAAGATTTTTAGATTGATTTCCAAACCGTATGCCTGTCCAGACATCTCAAATAGATGACCCTGTGATGCAGCTCTCGGATTTCTGCCAAGAGTTATTTTTCTTTGCTTTACATGTTGCTTAATTCCTGTGCTGATGAAAACTTCTTGTATCTCCAACATCCATGTCAGTGACTAAATTCCCAGTATTTGGATGTAATCTTCTGTACAACAAATAATGAAAGAAGGACAATAGTTTCAGAGGCTGCAGCTTTAAATGTTGAATTATGGTTTTTGTATTGGAAGAAAACTCCAAGTGCCTTCTTGTCATCAATTTAAAAGAAGAAAAAAAAAGTGTCTTGCAAGACACTGACTTCAATTTTTTTTTTTTTTTACATGAAGCAGGTGGGGGGGTCTGGTCCTGGCAGCAGTGTCTGCTTTAATGAAGCAGTGTTTACTGAGCAATTCTTCGGTGTATCCAGCAGTTCCTTGCAAAGCTACCAAGACAGGCCGAGCGGGCGGTGGACGGCGATGAAAGAGGACAGTGTAATCACTGCAGCGGAGACCTTCCCCCGAGCCAAAACCGAAGACAGGGGACGTCTCTTCACCAGATATTCAATGAGCACCTGTGGTGGAAAGTGTGCCAAGGCAGAGACCAAAGACTTGAATTTTAAAAACATGCACAAAAGTGGTAACAAGTCGAAAAAGAAATGGCAAGATGTTTAAAACCACGTGAAGAAGAGTTTGTATTTTGGAAATACCAGAAAACAATGACCTATGTTTCGCAATTTATTTATTTTTTATGTAATGCTCTTGGCCATTTTTAATTAAAAATACTGTTAAAGTGTATTTGTTTGTCTGGTGTTTCTCATGCAAAGTGTAACCGGGGGGCGTTACGCGACCGCTGCAATAACTTGCTGACGTAATAACAAAGCGTTTGAATTACGCGGCATCATTCAAAACCTCCAGGTGGCGCCGTGTGCGCGTGAAGCCGGTTTATGCCACACCCCTTTCCCCCGTAGAAGAAGTACCCGTCCGTCGCCCAGTCTCCCCGGGCAGAAGGCGTCTGGCCGCCGCACCCGACTCGCCTGCCCCCCTCCCCCTTCCTCCCCCACCCTGAAGACACCCCCAACCCCACCCCGTCCCCGGTCCTCTCGACCCAAACGTCCTCCCTACCGGCGATACCAGACCGCCATCTTCGGCCATGGCGACGAACGCTAAGCGAAAGCAGGAGGAGACTCACTTGAAGATGCTCCGGGAAATGACGAGCCTGCCGGCGAATAGGAAATGCTTCGACTGCGACCAGCGCGGGCCGACCTATGTCAACATGACAGTGGGCTCCTTCGTCTGCACCACCTGCTCCGGGATCCTGTGAGCTTCTCTCTTTATTGTTGTGTGCCTAAAGTATCTTCTGGGTTAAAGTATCTTCTGGGTTATTTGTTTGTTTTTACAGTGTACAACAGAGGACAATGCGTGGCTGTCCTTCGTGGACGTGCGCCCCGGTGGAACCGTTAGCTCGTTAGCTAACCTTTAAAGTTTGGTGCCGGTAGCATCGGTTCTTGCCGTTGGCCCGGTAACCCGCCGCCGGTTAATACGCGCGCTTGAGGCTTTGCTTCGGTGGCACGAGACGCGGAGGGTTTCGGTGTCCTGTTGTCTGTGTGGCCGTTCAGGTGCCTGAAGAGTCAAATATGTGACCCCCCCCCCCCAACAAAAAACAACAACAGCACGTCGTAAGGGAACATCTGCAGGTGAACTTTAGCTGCACCTCCGATGCGGTGTTTCGCAAACGCACGCGCGCACACTCCTGAGGTAGATGAGCGTCGCGCGTCGGTGAGACGAGCAGGGTGGGTCCCTCCGCCCGGGAGGTGAGAGACAAAGTAGGGCGGTGGGTCGACCAGTGGCTGATGAAACTATCCGAACCAGGATTTATGCAATGGAAGTGCGTTGTTCCCCTTTCAGGTGTGAGCTAGTAAAGGTGTATTGTGTTATGAAAGAGTTTGTAAACCTCGTTTTAGGTGAGAAGACACTAAGTTGAGGCATATTTGACAACAGATTCAGCCGTGAGTCTGTGTGGATCATGCTGCATCAGTTTTGCACCGTTTGGCTCTGCAGTTTTCCTCTTTATTTTCCTTTGCTGGACTCATACAGCTCTCTCATGTTGCCCTGAATAGCACTTTCTAAAATCCCCACATGAATTCTGGTTTGGTTTGGAGATCTGATCTTGATTCAGCTTTTCCTCCAGTATGTGTCCTGAGTATCAGACTTAATTTGATCCTCAAACAAATCATGGCAGGATCCCCAGAGCATGATGCTGACAGGCCTTCGGGCGGGGATGGTTGGATGTGTATTGGTGTGAGCAGACCATAAACCAAACACTAACCCACGTGTGTAGTCGTTTACTCAACAGTGGTTTTATCTTTGCCAATCTGCCATAAAGCGCCAGCTGCTCGAAGCTATTTGAAACGTTTGTCGGCCACACTGTGTCTCCCATCTTGGCAATAAAGCGAATAATCCCGAGCGTCGTATCTTGGGAGCTGCAGCAGTGTTGACAGGATAAAGGTCCCTTTGGCACAAACCTGTGATTTTGTGCTCTACAAGAACTGATTCCATAATCTTGTGACTGATCCATTTTTTTTGCTGTGGAGAAACTGACCACGTGGATGTTTTACTCCAGCTACTTAATGTGATATAATCAATATGATGTATCTTCTTACATCTTGAATTCTGAACACCTATCCAGCATTAAACACTTACCTCTGATATTTTGATTTGGTTTGTATTTAAAAAAATGTGCACTTATTTTCGAAATACCAAACATAAAGAACTGGCACAAAAATATCTATCAATACCTCCAAGGTTTTGTTTGTTCACCTCATGACAAATGTAAACTGATCTTGATCTTAAGCTGACACGTGCCCCCTCCACCCGCAGGCGAGGACTGAACCCCCCCCACAGAGTGAAGTCCATCTCTATGACCACATTCACACATCAAGAAATTGAGTTTCTACAGAAACACAGCAACGAGGTATCATCCAAAGTGCACACTTTGCCACAAAGGAATCTGCACCATGTTTCCCAACATTTTACAGTCCTCCTGGCTTTGATTCTGAAGCATCTGGGCGTTGTTCTGAACTCTGCATAGTCAACTTTATTGGCTTTCCCTCCTCCCCATTTTTTACTCCCTTTTCTTCTCATCCCCTCCCCCTTCCCTCTACTTTCTCTCACCTCTCCCGGCTCTGGCACCACCCCCACCCCAATCCTCTCCTTACCTCCCACTCTCCTCATTCCTCTGCCCCCCCTGTAGGTCTGTAAACACATCTGGTTGGGCCTCTATGACGACAGGACATTAGTTGTTCCAGATTTCCGAGAACCGCAGAAAGTAAAAGAGTTCCTCCAGGAAAAATATGAAAAGAAAAGATGGTAACATCAACTTTTGTTTGTTTGTTTTCAATATATTTTGTTTTGAGTATAATCTGTTGCTCACCAACCAACATTCCTGACCACATTAATGTAATAAAGTAATGTTTAGATTGAACAATACTTTATACTCCTGTGGATACATCCACATAATTAATGTAGTCGGGAACATAAATGCAGTAAAGTAGCAGCTGAGAAACACAGCGTGCTGAGTGGGAGGGGCTGCCTCTGTCAAAACATTTTGAATTTGTGGACTTGGTTAAACATGTGTTTTTAGTTTGATGTTCTTCACTGTCTAGGACTATTGACACGTCTCATTTTCCTCTTTTACTTCAGCTTGTGAGCACTCTTATTACGTAAAGGAACCGTAACCCATTTGATTTGTATATTTACCTTTTTATCCCAATTGGCTCTATCAAACAATTATCAAACATTTCTACAACTCCCTTCATTCATTTTTTTTAATTACCTCTACATCTGCGCTGGTGTTATTTCATGGATGCCCAGGTATGTCCCCCCAGACCAGGCAAGAGCAGTAGCGAGTGTGCAGGTCGCCGTGTCGGGCTCCTCTGCAAGCAGCACTGGTAGTACCCCAGAAGTCCAACCCCTGAAGACCCTGCAGCTCAGCAAGACCCCACTGCGCCAGGTACCAAACATGTGCACTGAGGCGCTACTTGTCTACAATTTTATATTTTAGAATTTGGTTGAACAGTACTAGCTAAAACATAACGTTTTCGGGGGCTGTCCAGTCACCCCGGAGAGGTCGTTCCCAGACTCGTGGCGCTGCCCACGAGAAGAAGTTTGACTTGCTCTCGGACCTGGGAGGAGACATCTTTGCTGCTCCATCCACTCAAACCTCCAGCGCCGCCAACTTTGCCAACTTTGCACATTTTCCAAGCCAGTCGGGTAAGAAGAGTTTTCTCTCAGAACTCCTATAATATAGAACATTTTACTTGGCCACTGAATACAGATTAGTCCATATATTTCCCCATTGTTTAGCTTTTGGTTCATCGTCATCGCATGCATTGCCCTGCCATTGTTTTTATTTCTACATTCACTGTACGTATTCATCTTTCCTTGTGTATAGCTGCATCACCTCAAGGTAATACAGATACCAACTTTGCCAACTTCGAAGCATTTGGAAACACTACAATTCCATCCCATCTGAGCACGTCCCCCCCCTCAAAGTCCTTTTCACCAGGTACCCCTCCCCCCTCATCTGTCCCTTTCATTGTCTTTCCACACACACACTCACCCTCATCTCAGTATTTTCTTTTTCATTTCTTACCCACTGTGTCCACTGGTCAAGCTCTCCCTGTATCCAGTAATCCGCTATAGATGCCTAGAGCATCTTCTGGTCATTACTCCTATTAGGGCTGCACAGTATACCGGTTCTAATTGAATTTCTCACGTACCGTTCATACTGGCGTTACGCCATAAAGACTGACGTTGTTCTTCGGCAGGCGGCAGAATTAATTTTTACACGTCATTGAGGAGCGTTCAGCGGGCGGAGCTACTGTGTGTTGAGATTGAGTCATGGTTGTAACTCTATAACAACAATGAGTAACCCACAACAAACACTCTTTAACTGGGTAAAACGCCACGACACAAGAGCTTGTGACACACAAACCATTTGTAACACTAACAATTGTACATTTATAAAAGTTATCCTGCTTAACTGCATGCTGAGTACAGCTCACAGCAGGAAGTAACTGTGTTGCTACGTGAAAACACGGAAAAGAGCGAAACAGGAGGAACAACGAGACCGACACCGTCCGAATCTTTCTAAACATGTATGGATATTGATTTTTGGCCGTACCGCCCAGCCCTAACTTCTATGATACTGGATGGAAGCACATTTCTCTTGGATACCAGTTTCAGTTTTTTTTTTAAACTTAAATCGTGAATGCAAAAATAGCTTGTTAGGTTGGGAACACATCAAAATTAACATTCAATTATTTTTCTCTGGATTATTTAGTAATTTCTTTGTGCCATTATTGTGTGGGCACGTGCGCTAATGTGACACTTGATCGTCTGAGGGCTTTTTTTTCTTCAATTTTCTCCTAAAAATGTTAAAAGGGGGAGGTGTGCCGATCCCATCAATGTCTAGTGCCGTCCCTGCCCAGTCCAACCATAGAGCGGATCGCTACGCTGCTCTGGCTGAGTTGGACAACGAGCTCAGCTCTTCTGTTACCGCAGCCAGCAATGTGCCAGGGTGAGAGAGACACACACACACACACACACAACAATATTGTAATAGCACGGCTGACACATTTTTGAGAGAGATTGTCCATTTCCTCCAAGGTGCAGATAGAAATTTTGAAAACGTCTGTGTGAAAAATCCATGGGTTTAGCGTGAAAGGTGTGTTTTTGACTAAAGTCCTGGAGTACGTCGACATCAGGAGAAACTGTCTATCAGAGCTCATTTCAAAACAAAAACAAGCCTATCACTTCTCTTGCATGTACTGAACTGATGTAAAAACAAGAATGTGCTTCTTCACAGGAACTTATTTGGACCGGTGCTTGGTTCATCGCCCGCCCAGAATCCACCCGTGTTACCCAGCATGCAGCCTGGCTTTGGAGGTGGTTATGGTGATTACTACAACATTGGTGCAAACATAATGAAAATATATTTACAGAGCTGTACATTTTTACCTTTTAACTTGAATACTTAAAACTAAATTCTCGTTGTCCAGCCGGCCCATCCACAAATCCCTTTGTGGCTACAGCTGTTGCCCCGGAGATGGCCACCAACCCTTTCCAGGTCAATGGCAGCCCTGCAGCTGGAGGTGTGTGGCCATTTAACCTTGGGTGTATTCAATTAGAAGTTTGTCAAAGAATGTCGCTTGACTCCTCTGTGTGTGTGTGTGTGTGTGTGTGTGTGTGTGTGTGTGTGTGTGTGTGTGTGTGTGTGTGTGTGTGTGTGTGTGTGTGTGTGTGTGTGTGTGTGTGTGTGTGTGTGTGTGTGTGTGTGTGTGTGTGTGTGTGTGTGTCATAGCCTCGTTTGGCACTGGCTCCATGAGCATGCCTGCCGGCTTTGGGAATGCATCTTCCTACTGCCTGCCGACCAGTTTCAGCGGAAACTTCCAGCAGCAATTCCCTGGCCAGGCTCCCATCCCATACTCTCAACCTGGGGGGGGCTACCACCCTCAGTCCAATGGTTAGTGGCCTCCCACCCGCTTTTGTCCTCCTGTTCCACCTGTGCAGTACCTGTCAGTGATTTAGGCCACATGCAGCATGTTCCTTGGCTTTATTCCGTCTGCATTGGAAGTTGTGTTTCTGATGCAAGTTAATAGTAAGACCTGTCAGTGGCAGCTACTGCAAATTGATAAAAGGTTGCATTTGGGGAACAAAGCTGTAGACCAGAACCAACAAAAGGCTCTATTCACACCTGAATGCAATCTGGCATGCTGGGCATAGCGTTTTTTTTTATTTTTATTTTTTACAGTTTTAGTTTCCCATAATTTAGTTCTGTGTATCTTTGACTGTTAACAGCCTGCTCTTTATGGCCCGTTGGATTTAACGTTTGCAATGAAACATCCTCATCACTTAACTGCTGGACAGCGCAGACCCGACCTGTAAATCCCCTTCTCTTTTTCACCCCTAGGCCCTGCATTCCCAGTCTACGGTCAGAACAAGCCGTCCATGACGCCCTTTGGGCAGGCCATGGCCGGCAATGGCATGTCCAATAACCCATTCATGGTAAGCGTGGGTTGCCTTTTGGTTTTCCCAACCTTTCGAGGTTAAATAAACAATGGATCTACTGTGCGAGGCTTCATCAGGTCAAGAAACCAAATTATACTGACAATTATACTCACGGATTTCACTGAAGACATCCACCACAAGAGATAATTGTGTCCGAATGTTTTCTGTCTGTGTCTTAAATCTCCTTCCCTCCCTCATTTCAGGCTGGAGCCCCAGCTGGGTCGTTCCCTGCAGGGGGTTCGACCAACCCGTTCCTGTAGCACAACTACCAGTCTTTGCCACCAGAGGGCAGCATGCAGCACATATTCAAGTATACCGTCTGTCCTGCAGTTAGTGGCAATGGCATTTTTCGTTTTTTTAAGAGAACATTTTTTTTATTAAAAAAAAGTTTACATAATTATGAAGGATTACAAAGGACTATATTCAAGACCAAGGGACTGTTATTGGGGAAAATGTACTGTTTTGGACTATATACAATATTTTAGGTTTTTGTTTTGTTTTGTTTATGACTAAGCTTTGTGCATATCCTTATTTGTTATCACAATTAAGTACATGTTTTGTATAACAAAGACCTAGTGAACACAGGGTGAGTACACACACACCCTGCAGAGCACCTCCCTCACTACAAACTGTCTACGTAGGTAAGGGCAAAGACTTGAAGATTATCCTCTGGTGTAATCCAATCCATGATCTCTGGTTTGAAGCAACCATGATGGTGCAGGTATTTCATTTTCAAAAGGGATCTAGTTTTTGTTATTTCTGCACAATTGTGCTTTTACTGCCAATAAGGTTCAGCAATGTTGTTTATTAACTTACAAGTTTCCTGTAACCCAAACTGTGTACGGCTAAATTAGTGTAACATCCCAAGCAGGTGAGTGGGATACAGCCTTGATCCTGGACGCCTGCATCCCTTTATTATTATCATTGCCAATATCTCTGAAATTGTGTAAAAAAACAACAAAAAAAACAAAACAGTCAGGGCTTTTTAAAATGCATAACTAGGTGCAGGTCCTTCAATATTTATCCAGAATCAATTTCATATTGTTTAACCCACCAACTGAAGGGACAGGCATGTCTACCAGAGCACAAATGGGGGAAAGAGACAAGAAACGCAGGCTTTATTATTTCTATGTCTTGTTACCCTTCCTAATATACAAATGCTGGTAAACTGTTAAATATACTTTTAAGTGACCTCACTTCTGCTTTCAGATATACACTACATTTTTGGAATATAGTAAAGCTGAAAGGAAAGGCCCATGAAAGCCTGAGGCTTGTGTGTGTCACCCAGATTGGGTAATGGACATGGATGACATAGCAAGAAATAACTGCACAACATGCAACAAAATACATAGATGTGTGCAGAGAACTTTATTAACTACTATAAAAGTGTCTCTTCAAACAAAGATATTTATGAAATGTTTGTACCGTTATATTTACTGCACTCTGTCGACACCTGTCTAATTTGCTTTCTTATAAAAAAGCAAACCGAGTGAAGAACAGAATAAGGAGGAAATAAAAATCTCCTTTCGGTATGCTTTAAATTAAGGCAAGGTAAAAAGAACACTTTAATATGGGGATTATTACATGACAGGATCAGCCTGGGACTAAACCAGTGTCTCATTTGTGCCACCAGTGACTAACAATGAATTTGACAATGTGTTTCTTGTCTTTGCAAGAATAGGTAAGTAAATGTGTACATATATAAATATATGTATAAATAAATTAAAAGATTTTTAACTACAATCTTGACTTTGTGTCACTATGTCTCTCGGTAATTGGATCAAAGGGGATATTAAACTCTGTAGTTACAGCTCAACCCATTAAAGTCCGTGGGAGTGGGCTGAGCATTGTGAACATACCGCACTATGATCAATAGTCAGGCCTCCAAAACGAGCGTAATGTCGACATGTCGCTCAGCAGAATCCCCACGAAGCCGCAGTTCAGCGCGCGCTCGATTTAGCGCCGTTGCCATGACAACAAACACTCTTCGCCATGGCGTCGCTTCTGACGGAGCCGTTGTTTGAGACGTCCGGACGCGGTCATCCCTCCAGTTTCTATCACTTTGCGGTTACCAAGTCCGAAGTAAGCGTCGCTATTTTTGACCTGTGATCCGTTGCTGATGGTAAAAACTACAAGAGACTAAACTAACCCACTGACGTTAGGTTAGTTATCTTAGTTCCTCTAAGATAAGTTGAAGTAACCTTACGTTATATTAACAGTAAATATTAACAGCTAAACGCCAGCTGCTGAGCTAAATTTGTGTAAGACATCTGTAGAATTGTTAACATTAGCTTTAGTAAAACAACTGGATTTCAACGCGTGGGTTTTACGTAAAAAGAAAAGAAAAATTCTTTCAATGAAAAATCAGTGAACCTTTTGAACGATCACTTCCAGGTGATCTGGAGATGGTGGAAGATTTCTCCGAGAGTCGTAGACCGGCTCTCTAAGCCGGGGGAGCTGAAGGAGCCTCACCGGGACTTCTTGGATGACAGAATGCTTCAGAGTAAGGACTTGCATTCACCTGCTAAATGGCAAAAGGGTTCAACAGGAAGCACTTACTGCTTTTGAGTTCACTGTGAAAAAGTAGAGCTGTTCTTCCGTCATCCTCTTTTTTTTACTGATTTGGAAAGAGGATGATTGTTTTTTATAATACTTTGGCAACAAATGTTGATTACATGTAGCATATTTTTTTTGCATGCTGTATCAACAGTAGACCTGTACAGAAAATCATTACACAGTCCTCAGGTATTTATCTCTTTAATTTCTGATTGTGTCTTGTGAATGTTGTATGTGAGCACAAATTGAATGCATGAATGCGGATGACGGATAAAATAATGGCCTTCTTCCCAGGGGAGGTCAGTATGGTTTTCGGTCAGGGAATCTTGGAGTACACCATGTCTTTGTGCCAAGGCCATTATGATTACCTGGAGCGCCTGTCTGACACCTTACTTCTTAGGATAGTAAAACATCTTGAGATAGAGGACATCGGTCAGCTTGGACGAACGTCGCGCAGGTTTCATAAAGTGAGTAACGAGATGCTTAAAAAACCCCAAACTGTATCGTTAGATAACAAACATGAACTGTTATTTAGGATTGTAACATACTTCTATTAAAATAACTTCTGCTCCCCAGCTGTGTGGGTCAGAGGAGTTATGGGAGCAGGTAGTGCAGCAGCGCTTCAGCACAGTGTCGGCTGAAGTGGCATCTCTAGCGCTCGACGTGGGCTGGCGCAGCATCTTCTTCACCAGTAAGCTACAGCTGCAGAAGTTGATCAACCGAAAGAGGCTGAAGAAGGCTAAGAAGCGACAAGCGAGACAGGTCTCGGACACCGATGCAAAGGCCGAGCAGTCTCACGATGACACCTCAGAGGCAAATCCGACGCCTGGTTGTGCGGCTGGCCCTCACTTTGGCGGTATACCAGATCTATGTCTTGGCACGGATCCTGGGTACTCGCATTGACACCAGCTCTAGCTGTGACATTGACCCTAACCCTGAATCAGTGGCTGCCTCTGATTCCAGCGTGCCAACTGGTTGAGGACATAGAGAAGTCTGTGGTGGAAACGCAGAAGGGTGACGGTCATTGCTCAAGTTGTTGAGTTGTTGTTGTAAAAACAAACAAACCAAATGTTAGATGTGGTTAATGAATCCATGAAAATGGTATTTTGGGACATTTTTACAAGTACATCTATTGTGCCATGTTTTTTTCTGACTTGGAATAAATGAACAACAAAATACACAATATACAATACATTGGATGTAATATGTAATAGAAGAAATGTATATTGTATATTTTGACTGCAGCTTGGCCTCAGTAAACCACCACTTAATGATGAGCGTCAACTTTAACAGAGGGCACACAAACATTTCTTTATGCTATAATGTAACGGGGAACTAAAGACAGGATTATTGGTACAGCATCTCCAATAATATAATCTTGATTCAAAGATACTCAGAATCTGCTTTTTATCGACAAGCAATTCTACTCATCCATCTTTTTATTTACATTTTATTTGGTCAGGCCAGTTCTGTATTCTTAACAAGGAGGATATCCTCCAGTTGCTCTGATGTTGCTAGGTGATGTCTCGGTCAGTATTCATATCATGATCTAGATTCTTAGAGGGCACAGATAATGTCTGTGAGTTTGATAGGATTAAGAGTGCTGTGCAAACAAAATACACAAGCCCTTAGGGGGCACATGCTGCCAGCGCTAATGGTCCATCCTGTGCTCAGCTCATATTGACATCAGCGGGGTCTTGAGACGGTTTGAGCAGGGATTAGCTAGGTGTGAGTAGCAGCCACCTGTGCTACAGCCCTGCTCTGCATCTACTTAAAGGGGCATTTCACCACTACCTCTCATTGTGTGCAGTCTCTGCCGATAAGTTCCATCTCCAGCAGCCAACCGCAAACTCAAATTCTACTTAAGCCCCTAACCGTAGACCTGCTCTTTCAATAGCTGGTTGTGAGAAGTGACGTAGTTATTAAGCTCCACTGTCAGGCAATATTTATGCAGCATAATCATTGATTTGTTCATTAAATAGTTTTTATTTTTTATTCATTTCTGAACAAAAATATATTGCACCACATAATACAAATGTGGTCCTCCTCGTGGTTCCCAACTATTTACTTTATATTTTCATGCGGTTGTTTTGTTTTTACATTTTTGGTTATTTAATTTCCTCCATAACAACATTTAAGGGACATGACTACGTACATCTTCATGCTTATTGAGAAAGAGAACAGAAACCTTGAGACACTTTACACTTGTGTAGGTACAAAAACAGACTTCTTGTGTTTTAGTTGTTATGCACTGGATTCACTCCAAGAAAAATATAATTATTATTATATATCGTGTTAGCACCTTCCCCTACTTGACTCTCAATGCTGCGCTGGTAATACTTTCTTTCTCCTGCATCTTTTAGTGGGAAGGCCATAATAGGATGGAGCCGGACCAGGTAAAGAACATGTAGTGAACCGTGCCGGGGACAGGATGAGTACGCTGCCCATCTTAACCTATATCTCCTCCTCAGGCTAATCCGTAGCAGATTTAAGTAACATAGAGCGACCATCTGAAGCCGGGTGGAGAATATGTACGCTAATGTGCCTCTGCTCAAATCATCAACGCCTTGGCACCACTGTATCGCGTAATCCCATGTTTCCCAACAGTTTGTTTAAGGCCGTATTAGGCACGTAGATTGCGATGTGGCCAACAACGACATTTACTCAGCTCAGCAGGGATCCCAGAGTCACGTGGAATCTCACGTCTTACCACACTTTTTCTGACCTGGTCAAAGATGAAACCTTTGATCTATTTTCATCCACTCAGGAGGCTTATGTGCTTTACTGACACTGATCTATTTAAAACATGATTAAAATTCACTCTTTCAATCATCTTTTTCTATGGGGTGTTTTTTTTTTTTTGTTGATTGCATGTGGTATTAAAAATGATTTACAAAAGCATCATCCGATGCCTTTCCCCTCTGCTCTGTGAGGACGTCTTCCTGGGCTTCAGGTCAAAAGGTCTGCAGCTTCTGACGGCAAGGACGGCTTGTGATCTTGTGCAGGGCACTAATAGCTTGAGACCATTTGAGACAGGATTAGCTAATATTATCTGAGCTTTATTGCCAGGTGTAAAGCCATTTGCCAATTGATCACACTGCATATGCATAAATATATATATATATAAATATATATATGAAGAAAACCAATATTATATCACTGTTACTTTCCTCTTCTCAAAAGATGATAGAGATGGTCTACCACATGTAAGCCAATGCTTTTTAACAACTTTCGTCCGTCTGTGTGTGTGTGTGTGTGTGTGTGTGTGTGCACATCAGAACCCACGCAAACACGCAAATAATAAAAGACGCAACACAAATGTTTCTCATCAAACTCAATTCATTAATTTATTGGGTTTGTATCCATTTACAATGAAATGATTCCCCAGACAATTCCTTTGACAAACCAAAATACACATCTAATTTAATCTAGTACACACATACTGCATTTTAAAATCAATCATACGCATCATTATTTTGTCATAAATGCATCATTATCCAATATCAGAAACATACACGCCAAAAATATGTTTAGATGGCTCCAATCTAATTGTCTGTTAAACAATGACTGATGTGAAATAACCTTGATTTGTAAACTATTATTCAGGATTACTTTATCAATCTGAATAAATCAAATTGATTATGTACTCACAGTTCACTCAACATGGATGACCTTTACAGAGCACGTGCATTTAGTTTAACAGTGCATAGTAATAATGTTAAGTAGAATTTTAGGAATGTTCAAATTCGATCTTGACGTGTTGGCCACTGATGAATAAGGGGACATGAGGAGAGGATTAGAAGTAAGCTGTCTGAAGTACCTGCCCTGTTGAGACCAGGAGGGAGGAAAGAGAAGAAGTTGAGAAGGCCGTATCGTAGGCCAAATTTGCTATTTGGACTAAAAGTATTACGTCAGTATTCTGCTCAATATTTCAAATACAATCTTATTATCTATTTACACGCTACAATACCTCATGCTAGTGCCCAACTAAATAGTGGCGCGTTACCACGCAACCTTCCTTCCTGAGAGGACCCGTTGACCGCTGTGACCGTTGTCTTCCTCTTTGCAGAACATTTTCTGCTTCTGTCTTTGGTCTTCTGCTTCACCATTAAATATGCTCTCGAAGACCCAATTGGACCACTGATTGAGACTACAGAACACCATGAACAAATATAGAGGTCCACAAAGCCTCTTAGGACAGAGTCCGCTTACGATTCCCTTTCCGTGCACAGTCTCCTTGAATAGTCCACACAAAGATCCTTAAGCCCAAATCCCTGCCTGGTATTTAATTCTAAATGAGTAATTACTGGGTGTGTCAGTGTGTCTTAGCTTTGCAGGTAGACTGGGTGAAGGAGCTCATTTGCAAGCCTGCTTCGGAGGGAATCGCACTCTCACACAGACGAGCACATTGTGAAAGACGCTGAGGGTATCCGTGGGGAGCCACTGAAGAGCCCAGTCGCTTAAGGGGGGGGGGGGAGAAGACCACATACAGCCGCCAAGATGTGTGACATGGGGGGACTGGATAACCTGGTGGCCAACACGGCCTACCTGAAAGCCCAGGGAGGTGATGACAAGGAGATGAAAAAGCGACGCCGCAGCTTGGCTCTGCCCAAGACCGAGCAGTGCGCTGCGGTACGAGCTTCCCTCGAGAAGGATTTTACATCGCTTTGTGAAAGGCAGCCTATCGGGAAAAGGTTTTTCCGTGACTTCCTGGCAAATAATCCCGACTACAAGCTGGCTGTTGATTTCCTTGATGAGCTGTATGATTGGGATCTGGCCGAAGGGGCAGAGAAAGAAAAGGCAAAGAAGAGCATCATGAGCAAGTATTGCAATGCTGACTCCAAGACATTCCTGTCCTTCCTCACTGGGGAGCCTCTGGAAAAATGCAAGGCTGTGACAGATGCAAACTTTGATGAGGTGATGAAAAGCAAAGTCCAGGAAGGCGTAAGAGATTATCTGAAAGACAAACCCTTCTCAGATTATCAGGCCAGTCCATTCTTTGATAAATTCCTCCAGTGGAAAGAGTATGAGAAACAGACCATCACCGACAAATACTTCTATGAGTTCAGAACACTTGGAAAAGGAGGCTTTGGAGAGGTAAGAATGCAAACTCCTCCATCATTTTATAAAGTCGGTTGATTTATCTTGTAACGATGCTTTAGAATCAGGACTCCAGCAGGTTCATTAGATGAAATTGTGTTATCGATTTGAAAATATCTATCTCAAAAATATTTTGTTTAAAGCATTCTAAAAAGTAAGAGAAAATGACACAAAAACATTACATTACATGTAATTTAGCTGACGCTTTTATCGAAAGCGACTTACAATAAGTGCGTTTCAACCATAAGGATACGAACTCAAAAGAACAAGAAACACCAAAGTGCGATTCCATTAAATAAGCCGATTTCAGGTACGGTCTGAAGAGGTGTGTCTTTAGTTTGCGGCGGAAGATGTAAAGGCTCTCTGCGGTCCTGATGTCATTACATTACATTATATATTTAACAATCTTTTGTAATTTTAATGAAGGTATAGTTAATTGTTGTTCCATCTGCAGATGGATGTTAATATAACTTGCATGATTCAAACACTAATGAAAAGTTTTTATTTTTCAGGATTAGGATTAGCGTTAGGCTGTTTTTAATTGAGATCACATAAGAATATGAAATTGATTGAAAATTCTTTCAAGTTTGTCCATTTCAAGACCAACTGCTAACAAAAGACACGATTAAGCAGTAATTAAATTGCAGGAATGGTGAATAGCAGTATGCGTTCTTTTATGAAATCATTAAAACGATTAGAGGTCAATGGGAATGCCTTTATTGGTCTTTTCTATCTGGTCATTGCACATTCAGAGGATCCACCATCAACCCCTGAGGAATCCCTTTTCTGAGTCAAGGCCATAGCATCATACATCCTGAAATAAGAAAAATACTAATTCATGAATACAAAACTTTTCTAAAAATGTAGAAAACGATTGATGAATAAATATTTAAAATAGTCATATTTTACAGTTTATGCAAACCGAAACAACAGTGAAGTTGCTACTCCAACCAGGGTTGAAATATTTCCTGTGAGTTTACAACATTGTCTTTTAAAACAGCATGTTCAGAAGTTAATCAGGCACTTTACTTAACTTTGATACCGAACAATCCTTTTTAAACTTCCAGTTTAATTTACTCATTT